TAAATGCAATAAACATGCATTTACAAGTGCATATTTAATAGAGGTATGTTTGCCAAGAAGCTGAGATTGGCTGTAGACCTCTGACAAGAGTATGTCCAGAGGCAAACACTGGTTTGCCACAATGCTATGTGTGAAGTGGCCTGAGAGTTTCTTTGCAACTATCTTTGAAAACACCACTGTTTCCCAAGAGTGTTGTGTCAGTGCTGTGATATCTAATCCCATTAAGGCTTCTTTTGCTAACTAACTAATGTGATTTTTCATATCTTGTCAGATTAAATCCATTGAATTACAATATGCTGTATCCCCCCATCCCCAGGAACTGGATAAAAACCAAGAAGACCTGATGAAACACCAGACCAATATAAGTGAGCTGAAACGGACATTCTTGGAAACCTCCACAGATACCTCAGGGACCAATGAATGGGAAAAGAGACTTTCAACCTCACCTGTACGGCTTTCTGCAAGACAGGAAGAAGCTCCTATGATCGAACCACTTGTGCCTGAAGAGGTGAGTGTTTCCTTGATGCTTCACAGGACCATCTGGCTTTAATTTTAAATTTAGTAAGGAAAAAAGTTAAGTTAGAAGGACAGAAGTAATAGATCAGTGTACAAAATGATCAGGATATAATAAGAATCTAAAATTCAAAGATTTTTTGGGCAGTTTGATGGCAAGACAATGGAAGCCGATTATGATGCTGTTATTACAAGCAAGTTTCTGGAAGGCAAATTGGTCAAAGATCAGCCAAACACTCTGATTCCAAATTAATGGCATATAAAAATACAAGGTCACTTTTGTGCTTGCCTATTTCATCCTAGACCAATTTATTGAGGGTTTATGGAAGCAAGATGATAGATAACATAGTCAACCAGTTTTAAAAACTTGGCTAGAATTTCTCAATTTGCACTGCCTGCTGAAAGAGAAAATGCTATTCAGAGGCCTTTGCTCCATTTAAAAAGCAGAGAGAGAGAGAAATTTCCTGAATTCTGACCACTGCTTGTTAGTACAATTGTTGTTTGTGGCACTTCCGTACAGTTGGTTTGTTGTGGAAAAGGAAATAAAGTGAAAAAATATATATATAAAGATAGAATCTTGAGCCACCATACATATGAAATGACCCCAGTATAAAAACCCACCACTGGAGGAAATTACCTTTGATGCTGACAGAGTATATTCTTATAAAACTGCCAGAACAAGAATATGTGTGGCCAAATGTGTCTAAAGTTATTCAGTTGTGCTAATACTGAATAGACACTAAGTTGGAAACGGCCTGCATACTTTTCTGTATAACTGCACCATAAATTAAAAAGCTAGGGACTACTATTATTTAATGCAAACTGAATATCCAAAGACAGTTCTAGAATAGAATGCCAGGCTGCCCACATGTAGTTGTGATTTTTTTTCCCATAATGAACAATTCTGGGGGTATCAGCGTAAAAAATCATAAATGAGTTTCTAAAACCTTCTCATTCACATGATCTTCCAAGGGTAATTGGCTACAGACCACTCATAAAAATTGCTTGAAAAACAATGTACACCATGTTCTAACCCAGCATGTTAGAAAAGTGTATGAGATTATTTACCCTCAGCCAATGCAGCTCACTGAAATAAACAGACACACATATGAGTAATTCTTTATAGATATGTGCTGCTAATTTGAAATGCTGGCACTAATGGCTTACATGTTTCCTACTTCCTAGAAATATTTTTCTATCTATCTTGTTATGTATTTGTTCCAACTAAAACAGCTCAGTAAGTTATATATTACCTAATATGCATATATTAGAGAGTGAAAAGAAAAGGCACATTATCAATTACTGACAAGATTGTCTGTTTATTAAAGCCCAGCTGTTCATTAAATCTGTACACTTCCTCGATCCCTCTTGTTTGATAGACCAAAGAAGAAAGAGAGATATCTGAAAAACGTATATTTTTACAGAAGGACAGCACTACATACCTTGATTCTCAGGTAAAAAGCAAAGCACACATGATTCAAAGAGGCTGCATTTCTGGAACTTATTTGATAAGCACATCACATTCCTTTTGATAAGAGCATTTTAAAGATTAGCACCAATAGATGACTTGTGGAGCAGAATACTGGAATAGGCAAATGAATATATTACAAAGGTTTGTGACGGGAATTTCCAACCTTCTGGGGCCTGTGAGCAAATCTCACAAGCTGAGGAACTGTCCTGAATACAGCCAGGGCAAAAGGGTTACTGAGCTATGTGTGGCATCCAACCAAGGTGCAAAGTAGCGGCAATGCCAAAACATATCAAACAGCTTCTCTGAACACATCGGAAACCTGTTTCACAGAAAGTGAGCCTTGTTTCTCCCCCACGCCCTCTGCCAGTGAGCATCTTCTCCCATTTCTCTCATTCTCTCTCGTTCCAGATCATCGCCCATATCCTGGCTCACCAGCTCTGTACACATACAAGCATGTTTGCTATCTGAAGCACACGCCTCGTGTAACCATCTTCCCTTTCCTTCCTCAAGACACACACAAAAACTTTTTACAACTTTCTTCGAGCCCCTTCCCCACCCCATCACTCGTAAACTCTTCCTCTCTCCGCCTCTCATTCTTGCACACGTGCAGTCCCCAGCCATTGAGAAGCATCAACCCACAACCCTTCAGCGGGTTCCCACAGCCACTTCCTGGCTTCCCATTACTCTCCCTTCTCCCTGTTCTGCTGGGTTGCCCAACCCTCCCTCCTAGCCCGCCACTGACTTCCCCAGCCCACCACAACTGCCTTCAGTCTTCCCTCCAGCAGATTGCCTGACCGTGGCAAAACATTACCTGCTTTCCTTTCCTCCCAGTCTTCTTAGTGCTGGGACATTCCGCCACAATGCACCATCTTCCTTTCCTAAGAATGGCTTTGGGCTCCACAAGCAGCTCAGAGGCATTCATAGGAAGTTAAAACTGCAGGGACTGTATGTCCCACTTCGCTTTGAAACAATCCCATTTGTTGGTAAGAATACACAGTGACAGTGGTAGAGCACCTTGGCAGTGTTAATTAAGGTATCCATTAGTGCCAGCATTGCTTGTCCCAGAACTATCAGACCTGCTTAATATTTACTCCATGAAGCTTAGATTTGTGGTGCTTAAAAGCCCTCTATTTTTATTCTCTGTGCATGCATACATTTTCGTATTTGAGTATGTCTCCTAAAATACTATACTAAGCAATGCATTATTGTCATTAGAATGAAATTCCTCCATGGTGCGAAAAACATTCAGGTATGTTTCACACACTGCACAAAATATATTGGGGGTCAGGTCTAATTCCATTTTCCTGTAGTGTATTCTACTATTGATATGTTTGAAAACATGCATTTGCTATCGGCACAGGTTCATCTTTTGGGAACATTCTTCCCCTGTAAGGTTCCAGAAAGCCCTTGTTTCTCCTGTTGTTCTACCACAGAGCATGGGAAACTGTTATAAGGAATGGGAGATGCCTGCTTTTCTCCCATATCTCAATTCACCCATCCCTCTGTGTTTGGTCAAGTTAGTCAAACACCATAGGATGCGTAGCTTGGTTGAATGGAAAGGTAAGGCTGGTTGGAAAGATACAACGCCTAGTGCATTCTCCATGCTTGCATGCTGGGGGAAGGGGAAAAGCAGTTTTAAAGGGAACCTTATTATGCCCGTGTGAAGAAGGATCATATGATTATATACTTGTTTTAAAGTAACATGTAGAACCGTCTTCTGACTTTCCCAAGTGCTGATGAATTTACATGTTTAGCTACAGGCAAGGGGAATAGAGGATCGATTTGTTGGCACCATGACCACATCTTACCAAACTAGTTTCCAAAAAATCATCCTATTCTTCCATTAATTCATGTAATTGAACAGAGAATGTTAATTATGACTAAAACTTAATATCATACAATCTCTATGGGAAAAGAATTTGGTATAAAGCAATATCTACAGCTGAGTCTTAGCATGATTCCACGTGAGGCTCTGATTGTACTTCAGACTCAAAATATTTTGTGGGATAGGGGTCCAAATATTGTGAGTGTGATTGTTTTTATCGGGCTGCATGCTTGGGATTGGATCATTGGAATGTAATGTCTTGAATGGTCAACAGTAAAGCATTACTCAAAAATTACAAGATTACACTCCATGCTGAACCGGAAACCTGGGCCATGAACCTCAGTGTGTGACTTTGTTACTCACTCTCAGCTTAACCAACCTCGCAGAATTGCTTGTGTGTTTGATTGATTGATTGATTTCTGTCCTGCTTTTTTAAACAATGAACTCAAAGCAGCTTACATCATTTTCCTCCTGCTGTTGTCAGTCTTACCCCACAGGAACAATCATGTGAGGTAGGTTGGGCTGAGCATCTGTGATTGGCCCAAAGTCACCCAGTTGGCTCCATGGCCGAGTGGACACTAGAACCCCAATCTCCTGCGCTCTTAACTGGCACACCACACTGGCTCTTGTTATTGTGAGGATAAAAATGGAGTGGAAGAGAACTATATCAGCCACCCTGGGTTCCTTACCAGAGGAAAAAAGGCACAATATACATGTAATGTGGCAATCATGATGACGATGACAATGATGGTAGTTTGACCAATGGGTTTTGGGGAATCTCATAGTACAAACTAAAGCTATTGGTGTTGTACTAAAGGTGCCTTATTCTAACACAACATAATTTGGTATGGTAGATTGTTGACCAATAAATGAACCTGTTCAGAAAGGAAAATGACCTGGAGAATGAGATGAGTCTTCCTTCAATACTTTTTATGTCGCTACCTTTCAGCTGTAGAAGTTTACATGTTTTAAGATGTCTTCAGTTTCTTCAAAATTACACAAAGTGATAAAATGCAGAAGTGTGCATGTTCTTAAGATAGCTATCATAATTTCCTAAAAAGTATTACATTTTAATTTCCTGACACATAGGTATAAACTTTTAGTTGTTCTAATTTAGCTTTTATATTTCAAATATAGGGCTCTGAGGATTGGGTAATTGTAGACAAGGTACCCATTGAGGTAGTTGATGGTGAATCGAAAACCATTGTGACATACAAAGTAATGACTGTGAGCAGTAAAACTGGTGACATTCCAACTCAGCTTTTAAAACCCAGTACCCGTGAAATGCAGACCTTTGAGGACTTGGAAGGTGAATTGCAGTTGAAAGACGACCATAAGCAGAAAATGTATACCTTAGGAAAATCCTATGATACTGTCTCTGGGAAAATTGTAACCATGACCACTAAAGTAAAAGAGGGAGAAAAAGGTGTTCCGTCATCACTTCAAGCATTCCAAAAAATGGAAAGGGCTGTGCCAGAATCTGTGAAAATCATCCCAGTAGTAACAGAGTATGAAATTCTAGAACCAGTTACTGATGAAAAGTCCAGAAGGTTATCTGATGCAAAAAGAAGGGTATCGGAATCACTGACACCCATTAAAGAGGCAGACTCCCGGCTGCAGAGTCCTGAAGAGGAAAGTGCAAAGAAGACACTAAAGACGGAGCAGGATTTGCAGTTGCATGATACACCGGGGAGCATGCAGACTGCCAGAGACGGGAAACTTCTTGATGAAGAAAAGCTAAAAGAAGAGGCATTTGGTCGGAAAGATAAGACTATATCTGAGTGGAAATATTCCAGAGAACCGCCCTTTACCATTGCTACTGCTCACTATGTTACCGAATCATCAGCATCAAGAGTAGTGGTAACACACAACTTTGCCACAGTTTAAAGATAAAAGCATGACTCCTTTAGGCAATACCCTCACTACCCTGCCTTTCAGTCCTTTTGCTGCTTGGCTTTCTGTTGACTACAGCCAACCCAGCTTCTTATTATTTCCTCATGTTTTGAGTCAATTAACACAGTACAAAGCAGACGTTCCTAGGCTTTTAAACACTTACAATTCAGTATGATTGAAATGTATGCTGCTATGGCTTGTTATAGAAGAGAAAATGCTTCACGAGACCAGCAAAATAGTAGTGCTAACAATTTTGCTTTTTTAAAATTACTGCTTATAGTCATTACAGATTTGTGCTAATTTATTTTCCCATTATTTTCTTCTCTGTATCCCTGCCACGTTTTCTCCTTCCCTTTGTCTTTGTCTCTGTTTTTGTCAATTAACATAATATTTATGTGTTTGTCTGCTTCTCTTTCTGTCTGTATATGTGTGACTGTACATTTCTCTGTCTATTTAGAAAAAACAACTCTCCGGTGAAAAAACCTTGGATGGTTCTGATATCTTCACTTTAATAGAGTCTGCAAGAAAACCAACTGAGTTCATAGGAGGGGTTACATCTACTTCACATAGCTGGGCGCAGGTGGCCATTTGATTCCATCTTTAGAATTTAATTCTTTTATCTTGATGGGGGCTTTTTGTGGTTGTGGTATTTCCCTTATTTATATACTGGTTTTTCGGTGCCAGGTAAAGACCTTTTTATTTAAACATCATTTTAATTGTTAAAACATATGATCTGGCCAGGGCAACTTCTTCTTCCTTCTCTTTCTCCTCCTATATTTTTATTTACTTATTTTATACTGATAATTTTAATTTTATATTTGTAAATCAATGTATTTTTTGTATTTTTTATTTAATGTTAATTTATTATGTACTATTGTATTTCAATGTATTTGATCGTGTTGTAAGCCGCCCCGAGGTTTCGGCAAGGGGCGGCATAGAAATGTAATAATGATAATAATAATAATAATCTCATTGATGTGCATTCAAATCCCCCAAATTTGCATGGAAAGTATTATTGCACATGGTCGGTACTTCCCTTCATAGATATAGACAGAAATGAAAACCTTAAGAAAATCAGGGTGCTTGTTCCTTGTTTGCTCTGTTTAGTATATTGAAAGTACTAAACAAGCATTAGTATTTAAAACAAGGAGAAATTACAGAGCATGTGTTCATTTGTACCCACTGTCCGGTTTTTGAGAATTCAAGAAAACACCCTATGTAATGGAAGAGAGGAAGCAAAGCAGATAGTCAAATTTAATATTCTGTGCGGATGGATTTATACACCACATTAGGTTTTGATATTAACTTCTTTTCCCTGCAGAGAACAGACGCCAAGTCTGATCAGGAGATCCGGTCCAGTGAAAAGAAGCCAGAAAAGGAGGACTTGCAACAGGAGACCATAAGGAAGGTTGTGCAGGAAACTGTAGTGGTCGAAGAGAAGCGTGTGATGGGCGTGCATGCACATGGGGACGCTGCTCACTTGGCTGGCGTTCAGCTGGATGCTACAGCACAGGCCATCTCTCATGTGGCTTCTGGCATCACAGGGAAGGAGGGCTCTGCGGTAACTGAGGGGGCTAAAGAGGAAAAAAGACAGGAGGCTGAAAAAGCTGTAAGCAAGCAGGAAGAAACTGCTACTGTTTCGCATGATCAGGAGGAGGAGCAGAAAGCAACAGCCTATGTTTCGGATACACAGGAAAGAAAGCCTCTTTTTGAGGTAATGGTTTCCAATTAGACAATTCTGCAGAAACGGATGTATTCTTTAAATTCAATTCACTCTGAAGTATTAAATGCATCGTGCCAGATTATTATCGTGAGCAGTTTGTTTCTCATCTTAGCACAGCTCCATGTGCAGTTGTTTCCTATCTGGATGGCTTCCATGTAGAATGATGGGTTTGGACTATGAGTATGCAGGTGTATGCAACGAGTTCATGAGGGAAAATGCATGTGGCAGCATACACACAGTATACAAGCAGTTTTCCTACATGGATGTTTAGCTTCTGTGTAGGAAATGGCACATGTAAAACAGCCCATGTTTCCTCTCGTGCATGGCAGTCTTAAAGCTTATTGCTGATTCCATGTTTTCTAATTTCATGCATCATGCAGTTCATAAGAAAGAATGTATAGTGCTGGTTCTCTATACCTAGCCATACTGGCCTTGCAACAGGTCTAGCCAGAGCAATATGTAACGTGGTGTGCCATGGAAAGATCCCTATCTATTTCTTTATCCTACCTAGCCAGAAAACGTTTTTGTACGCTTGCTGGAGCTGAGAAGAATTGTCCTACTCACAGTAGAGATTTCTCAGTACACTACTAGAACTTTTCTGTCTCTCGAATTATCATATATAAAAGCTTAAGGTTTCAATCATGTATGAGCTACTTAAAGAAACACATGTGAATCTGAGTTACTGTAAAATCCTTAAAAATCCATAGCTGCTTAAATTAAGCTTAAAAATCCATAACCACCTGGAATCTGAAGGTGGCTGTCAATACATACAGGCCTGGTGTAGATATAAATATTGCTCTAAAGTGCTCTTACAATATATGCATTACTTTTTGTATAACAGAGATATTTGTTTCTCTCATTCAGTAGCACAATACATTTCAGTGTACATTTTCTCTACAATTATGAAAAATCTCAACAACTTTAATATATAATACAATTGCATTTTTTCATTAAAGCAGTCACCAATTGTGAAGACTGAAACAATCAGTTTTGGCAGTGTTTCTTCAGGTGGTGAGAAGCTGGAAATTTCTATGAAGGAAGTTCCCATTGTTCATACTGAGACTAAAACTATTACATATGAATCATCTGAGGTAAGACATTACAAGAGACTTGAAGAAAATATAACCCAGGCAGATGCTATGAGGGGAAAAAAGACCAACCATGCTAGGAATATTGTGCCAAAGGTCAAGACTGCAGTGGGACTAATTATTTTGCTGAAAACCTTGCTTCATGATGCTTTTTTATTTGCTTCTCAGTACTGAACAAAGTGTCACTCCCCATATGCTTTAGTTCTTGAAGACTGTCACCTTTTAATCCCTGGGTTCAAACAGAATATTTACCAGCTGTGCACTACCATCTCCAAATCCTCAACCATTTTCCATTACGTAGAGTTGGCATGTTTGCTTTCCATAGGGAGATCCTGGTGCCGACTCTGAGCCAGGAGTTCTGATGAGCGCACAAACCATCACATCTGAAACTACCAGTACTACAACTACTACACATATCACCAAGGCAAGTCTCAGCCATCTTTTCTCTGAAGTACGGGCTTAACTTTTGCATAACGTTGTAACAAGTAGGAAATGAGAGCCTGGGAGAGGGACCTGGGGGTATTTTCAATTGCTCCTCACTCTTGCAACTGCTACAGAAAGCACTGTGGTGGCTACTTTCTGAGGTTGCCTTGGACAACCTTGTGGAGCTCAAAGGGGGCAGTGTTACAGCAGGTGGGGAGAGGAGAAGCCGGCATGCAGTGGCCCCTCTGTCACTTAGGCACTTTTCTGCATCCCCAAGTTCCAACTTAGGCAAATAAAAAGCACACATTTATTTATTTTGTTGTGAATGAAAGGCTTGCCGTATTGCCTTAGGACTCTCCAAAGGGCATCCAAAGCAGTTTGCAACAAATAAAGTCTTGTTCCAGTTAAAACTGGAAGTTATTAAAACAAACTTATCTGCAATGGGCAACGTTGAGATATACTAAAGTTTTAGAGCAATAAAACTGTCTCAACGACCTGTATCAGAGAAGGTGTCAATTACTTTCTTCTGAGAAGCAGAGAAAGTAGGCAGCATCACTGAAAAGCCTGGCTCATGTTCCCGGCATCTTTTAAGAGCTCTGACAATCCAGAGAGGCAGAGATTCCTTTTGACAGCATGTCTGTACTGGATACAGCATCAGTGTCACGGGTGGAAGGGGTCACTGTTGCTAATACAACCTGTTCACAAATCCTCCTGTGAATTCAAAAAACAGAAAAGGAAAGAAACAAGAACAAACACGGCTGACGGTCAATGGGCACACACTTTGGGTTGTATGAAGTGGGTTTTATACTTGGCGTCTCGAAGTAAGAATTAAAATCTATGTATATTACTGGTTACTGGAAATCATGACTGGCTGCTAAGCCCAGTCAAAATTTGTGAACTCCTGCAAGGAGATGTGAAGACCAGGCAGATGACTTCAGGTAATTACTCTGTTTCACACATATACAAAAGGCAGACTGCTGCCAAGTGTTTGTTTGATGCTGAGTGGTGCTTAGACTTCTACTCTGCTTTTAAAACCTAGGAAGTGTAGGACCTTCAAGTAGTTTGAAATTGGAGCATTCTCTAACAAAATAACTCATTCATTTTAAAAAAATAAACATGACCATAAAAAGAAGATTCCATTCTTTCATTTAAAAATTGAATAATAATAATAATTATTATTATTATTATTATTATTATTATTATTATTATTATTTTAAAATAAAAAAGTTCAGAGGAGGTGTAATGGTGTCCAAAGGCAGCCCCCACCACTTTCCCTGCATCCCAATAACTCAGAATAATCCCAATCGATCTTAAAGCATGCAATAAAAATCCATCTTAAGAAAGCAGGCTTTTTCCCACTCTCAGATTTACCATTTTAACTCTCTCCTTATGAGGTCAGCTTGCTTGCCTGGTCTCCAAGGAGACTGTCTTATCATTTTCTCAGTGGAACAATTTCTGTTTTGATTCTAGCCCAGGCATCAGGAATTTTCTGAAGTCCTTGCTGCCTCCAGCCTCAGAGGCATATTATGGCCATAAGGCAAAGAGTAACACATCCTATAATTCATTGTGTTTTCCCAATTTATTGCTATTGGACATGGAAGAAAAATAATAAAAAGGAAAACCGTGCAACAGCTGCCGTAATGAAAAGATTCTTAAAGCAGAGCAGCTCTCCATCATAGTTGGGTTCTATAGAGGGGACATGAGAGTTATGAACTTGCAAATAACAAATGCTGTCTTTTCCACTGTGGTGCGCTAGAGCCTTTGGAAATGCAGCCATTCAAAGGGTGGTTATGGCTGCATCTTGTGCTAGTGAGTTCTGTGGTTCAGCTGTGAGTTCCTCATTCTATAATTTAACTATGAAGCCAGACAACTTAACACAGAACAACTGAGAAATCAAACTGGATTATCTGAAAAAAATATGCAGTAAAAAGTGTGAAAGAAGGGCTGAATTATAGCAGTAAAACAAGGATAATTTTAAATGAAATTAGACAAAAGGCAAATCCCTATATTCCATCTAGTAAGAATCTACTCTACACTTTCTACTCTACACTGTCACATGGCACTGAGGGAAAGATAGGATGGTAGCACTCACTCCCTTCTTCAAAGTAGTGAGAAAAGCTTATGGTAGAATATGCCCTAGAATTAGAAGGTGAGACTGCCCATCCACTGATAAACTTTTTAAAAGGCCTTCTTTGCAGAAGACTGCCTGCACTTCTCCAGATCGTAGTCCCATCCTGGAGTGGCTTTGGTTTCTCTGTGGTCCAGTTCTGCTCAGGCTTTGTCCGAATCCAAAGCACAACCCTAATATTTTCCCAGATACTACTTTAAATTTGAAGTAAATTTCTACCATAATGTCTGCCTGCACTGGGGCATAACACAATCTCATCTTAAAGAAGTGTTTACTCAGTGAATTCAGAGAGATACTATGTCTTGTGCAACTCAGTGAGTTTTACTTACTTTGTGCAAAAATATTCTGTATGTGCAGTTTATATGGGGATATATTGGATAGTTGGTGTCAATCATTTGACAGCTTTCAGTAAAGCTCAAATAAGGAACTGTCTCTTCTTTAACAGCAAAATGGTGCTCACGCTTAAGGCATGTATGTATTCCTTCCCTTTAGACTGTAAAAGGAGGCATATCAGAGACAAGAATCGAAAAGCGAATAGTCATTACAGGGGATGCCGATATTGACCATGATCAGGTATGATTAGTAAGCTGCTCATGTTACTGCTCTGGTTTTAAAGTAAAATCTAAAATGCAGTGTTAGCACACGTGTGTCTTTAAAATAAATCAAATTATTATTTAGATCAAATATGAATGTCCTGTTTTGAATCACTTTTCCTCATTTGCAAATTGTGTAATTGATCATGAATCTCTCTTCACCTTGCTACTGATCATGCATGTTCCACCTCCTTCTTGTTTTTGCCCTTCTGTGGTTTCCTTGGGCTAGGCGCTGGCTCAGGCAATTAAAGAGGCCAAAGAGCAGCACCCTGACATGTCAGTGACCAAAGTAGTGGTACATAAAGAGACAGAAATCACACCAGAAGATGGGGAGGATTGACCACAGGTAAGAGGATGAGATTTCTCTCAGGCGCTCATGGGCTGGCATGTGTCAGAGATCATTTCTTCTTTCATCTTTCATCTCTAACCCTTTCTATTTATGCTTGCTGGCATTTGGTTTACATTTAGAGAAATCGCAGGTTCTGAAGTATACCTTACTTCAGAAGGTTAACGGGGCAGAGGCTTTCCCCCCTTTTCTCTAATGCCAGTAAGAGAAATAGAAGAAACCCATTTGCTTAAGTCTGTGCGCTAGTTGCTATGCTATTTTCCATGATCCAGTATGCTGCTCTATAATTTCCAAACCTGGATACTGCTTACGAATATGGCTTGGGGGAAAAGAGAAGCATTTTCTTTCATTGTAAAATATTGTCTGGAAATAGGTATAGATATAATGACTATGGCCTATGATACAATGAGCAGAAATATCATAATTTAGGTTTTAAGTGGAAAGTTTTTTCCAGTATGGTTGAAATTTCTTTTGTGTCTTTTTTTTCCTCCATTTACTGAGCAATAAGTGCTGGTGTGGATGTCTTTGTTTCCTTCTTTTTACATGGCTGTTTTGTCATTGATAAGTGCATTGTTTCTTGAAGGGAGACAATAAGACGTATAATTGTTCTTGTCTGCTGTAATTCAGTAAAGGCATGCTGACAAATTCTGGCTAAACAGGCATCTTGATGATGGTGCAGTTACTGTCTGCATGCGCTAGAATACATTGTGCATACTAACATGCTATGCAAGAGCTTTTAATACTTCCATCAGTAGGTGGCTTTGAATGTGGTATGCAAAAAGGAGAGGGGAAACCGCTTTTGTACTTGATTAGCATAATCTTACTTCTAAAAAGCGTATCTCCAAACTCTGGGAATGTTGTAGCCTTCACAATCAGTTTGCAGATTGTGCACAATTAAAAGTGGGCAAGGCGGGGAGGGTGTGCGGGGAAGGGAGATCACTTCTAAGGTGGAAGGCAGGCCCTATAGGTAAGTCCTGGACAAAGAAAACATCTGGGAACTATACATAGAATTGTCAGTATGACACATACAGCAATTGTTTTGAGGTTTTGGATAAATGAATTACTGCTTTATACTGAATTGGTCCATCTGGACCCCCTAATGCTTATCCCGACCAGTTGTGACTGTCCTGAAGTCTCAGGCAGGGGTTTTCTTTAACTAGGGATTTTTCATAGAAATCCTCCCATTTAAATTCTTAGAATCCATTATTGATTACTGCTAGCCATGTGCGTTTATCTGGTGACTGATCCAAAGTTTGCACTAAGACTTTTGATCGGGCTATTACTGCAGTTTATAACCCCCCAAAATTGAATCAGCCAAATATGGGAAAATGTTTTGTATTTTGCATTTGAAACAGAACACAGGCCTGAGACACTAAAATCCCACTAATAGCTTTCAATAAGCCCTGCTTTAAAGAATTAACTATACTGAAGATAGCAGTAGCACTTTTGTGGTACATGAAGTCCTATTATCTACTATTTTAAATTGTTTCTAGAACTTAACTAAACTCTCTCTACTGCAGGAATAATGTAGCTTTCTTACGAATTCAGTCATATACACCATTGGGAATATCAGAACCTACATGGAGTCTTGGTTCTAACCCAAAAGGCTTGCATCTCTCCAGAGAATTTTTCAGTGTGGAAGAATCTATCTTGATTGCTACTAAGGACACTGGCAGAAATATCGTTCCATTTACAGCAATCTGAATCAGCATTAGTAACCCAATATTTGCATGAAGCAATGAACAAATTACAAAAAGCAGCATTTTAATTTTCCTAAACTAAGTTTCCATCTATACCTGCACGTTCATCAATAATATAAAACAGTGATCTCATGCTACACATAAAACAGTTCATGCCTTCACAGTTATTGAAAGGCTCAACCACAATTTCTTAGTTGGCAAAACATTTGTTTAGGGTAAGTGAAGATTACCCTAAAATGCTATAAGCTGTATAGTGTATAATGTTTTATCACATTAGATGTGCCAATAACACACTTTACTCAGTAAACAACTTGAATCATGATTGTTTTCATCTGGTTTTATTATTCTTGTCAAATAAACAATGGTGAATCTCTAATCTTATTTAAATGCTTACAAAATGTGCTTTGTTTACCTGATTTGAGATCTTTGATAGTAATGATTTTAGCATTGTTCAAAGTATCCTGCAGTCACCCTTCACAAGTCCTAATCCAATCAATTATGCTTTTATTATTTTAAATAAATTGTGTATTTTCCTTAACATTTCAGAAATAATAGTCCGAAATTGTGATATTTTAAAATTGATTTCCCTTTTGTTCTCAGAGAAAATGTTTCTTTTCACAAGTCTGGTCAGCATTTCCTATCTAGGTCAGAGCCTTAAATGTACAAAACACCTACTAAACATTCTTTGGTATTGGTTATCACATCCATTTTAAGAGAAATTGTCATCATCACACTGTCAGTCGCATCACAACACATGGTGAATGTATGTTTCTGCATAGTGAAATAAAAGTGGTAAATGCACCAAAATTTGTATTGGTCTATGTCTAAGAAACCTTGTTTTCTATACTGTAAAATATCAAAGTCACTTGAATGTTCCTGAGAGAGATGTTTTTCCAATTAAACACAATAAGGTACAAGCAGAAGAGCAGAGAGAGCTAAGACATTTTGTGTAAAGAAATTGTTCCCAGTTGTGTACATACATGTCCTCTAACTGTGTCTGTATTATATAGCTGTTTCATGTGTTTCTCATAAAATAAAAAATATGATCAACTATTTTTAGTATTAGCCTGAAGAAAAATTACTTTTGTATTCTCCATTCTAAATCATGAGAGAACTAATAATCTGGATATAAACCAGCCAAAGTTAAGCATTTCTAAGTTCCAGTCCAATTGAATAGTTAAAGCATCTGTTTTGTGCTCTCTTGCTCAAATTAATGAGATTTAAAAGTACTTAATTTAGGCTGGGTTAGATATTTTGATTTAGCTGCTCATTCAGTTTACTCATGATATTTGTTGAAGAAAAAATGTAACAAGTGCATTTTGTAGTCTTTTGAAATAAAATATCATCTGTAAAGCTGTTTTTGCTGATAAAGCCCAAGTGCACATGCAATTTCTAATTGACTTGAGTGGCAGGAGCTTCTGTGAAGCAAGACTGGATATTTAAGATAGACAGAAAGGAATAAATATTTTTAAAGAGTATATATCGAGATAAATAATCTATAGAGAAAATAAGTAAAAAAATAAGAGCCCTGGTCCAGCAGTTACCTTGTTGCAGGCCTAATTCATATCCTGCCAAGTGATTATCTATAAAAATACACAACTTGGATCCAGCTGGAATGCATAGAGGCAACTAGTATGAACCAGCACCTCTGTCCACAGCCTATATATGTAGCAATCATAATTTGCAGGATCCCAGTGACTTGTGAAAGGGCTACATTTTATCAGAATCATGGCTGCTGAAGGTAGAATTGTTGGTTCATAAAATTAGCACTTCTGCATAATCACAGCTGGGTCAGAAAACCATCAGTGACCCCTGTGGACTTCCACAGCCCAAGCTGGGGTTGTCAACCATCTCAGGCCAAATATGTCAGAGACAGTTCTGCATGTGCATCTCCCTTAATTGTTGGAGCTCTGGAAGTTTTGGATTGTACTGAAGGTAGTCTCTTGACTTTTCAACACTCTTCTTGGGAGAGTCCCATCCTGGGACCAGGCATATTTTGATAAGTGGCTCCCATGGACAGCATCCAGTATTGTTCCCCTGCTAGTTGGGTTTATCACTAGCACAGTGGGAACTTAGTGATTCCCAAACCAAACTGAGCAGAAATGCTGGTTACTGGAAGGGCATGGATCAGTAGAGCTGATAGGAGGGCGTTTCATTGACCAGTCCTGTTTTGTGAATGAGTATTTCTGGGGTTACTTTTAAAACCTCTCATTCCCTATTCCTCAAGTGCTAAGTCCACAGTGGAACCAGCTCTCTGTATAAGGATGTAATTCTAAGCACACTGAGAGTGAACACAGGACTTACTTCTGATTAAACTTACAGAAGTCAGCATTGTTGGTTCCCCTTATTCTAATTATTTGTGTACACTGGTGCACCCCTACATAATGCAGGCATCAGTATGTAGTATTTCTCTTCCTGACTCACATGAATTCTTTTGCTGCTATATGTACGTAGGAAGCAGCTCTCATTGAATTGCTTTAAATTTCTTTCTTGTAGAAGGCTTTCTATTAACACAGTGTGCGTGTTCCATCTAGCACAACCATCATCTTCTGTTCTTAAGAATACAGGAAGATTCATTACTGCTGTCAAGTTTTAGACTTTCCATTTTTCACCCTCCTCAATTTGTGCTGTTTTGAAATAGAGTATTGAAATATAATCACCCCTTCTATCTCCGTGAATGCCAAAATCAGCTTCAAATGGAATTGGCATGTTTCTCAAAAGACTCCACTCCAGGTTCTTGTTAAGGCATCAAGCATTTAAGTCATATTCCTATTTCATATAGGCCATATACACTTTCTCGGCTGAAAAACTAAAGTATTTGTTTATCAGTTCAACTGATACTCAACTGTGAAAAGTCTGTCTTCTTCTGAACAAATACTTTATTCCCATGTAGGAAAACTAGGTAATTTTGATCACAAGGCTAAGTGTTGAAATTGCTATTAAAATGTGGGAAATGTTGTTTTGCAGTGGCTAGAAAAATGGATTCTCAAAACTAGTTCAAGTGATAGTGAAAAGCATCTCAAATATCAGCTTATTTCAGACAATCATACAAGGTTACAGCTATAGTAGCCCCTTCACAAGTCAGGCATAGATATTATGAAGCATGGCATCAGAATCCACTAAGGCTACAGGACTGACATACAAAAGGGGAATTGGCCCCATTGAACACAGCGGGACTTACTTCTGAGTGGACATGCATAGGATTGTGCTGCACATTTTACGGAACAGCTAAAATCCTCTGTCCAAGGTTATTTCTATGTTGCCCACATTTTAGCATGGCATATCAAAAGCTAATACATTGTTTCATAAGATGTGTCTATTTAGAATGGGTGCTCACAATTAAAATAAGAATGAAGTGCACAAATTATGGCTTGATGTTAGTGAACTTTGTTTGAGGATCTCTCCTGGGAAATAAATGTTGCTCTTTCATTGTTTGGGGGGTTGACTGCTTAATTCTGTGCCAGATGAAATAAATGCTCTTGCCTGTTTTTAGCAACTGCTTTTTGTCTCAGACTTTTCTTCTTTGTTAGTCTTCGTCCAGCTCTTGTGCTTGCAGCAGTCCATATAAACAAAATATAACAAGACCAGCCTTGTTTGAAGGCTTAATTCTTGCGTAGAACCCTGCAGGAGCAAATGTTCTCATTACAACAGTGATGATGATTTAAGAAAATGAGAAATTATGAACTGTTGATTCTGCCTTATTAAGATAAAGAAGATGTGTTATAGTTAGCAGGAGAGTGGTGGAATGAGTCCATGCATCAACAAATAAATACAGGAAAGGTACAAAAATTAGATATAAGATCCAGACACCTGTGTGTGAAGTGTTTCTGCTTTACAAGGAGAAAGGATTGTCTGATTTTCCCCCTTGCATATAATTCTGCCCTAGAGGGACAATTTGGAGGTTTGGGAAGAAGCTGGCAACTGAAAGAGCTCCTACTGGAAGAGGTAGCTGAAACACAGCCTATATGTCCCTCCCATTCCCACAATTCAAGCCCCTAGGAACCATGTAACATTCAGCTTCCTTCCAATGCTTCTGCACTAATTTAATGAATTCTCTACATCCCTTGATTCAGTATAGCTGTGTACAGGCCTCACATAACCCTTTCTACATTCTGCTGTAAGCAACATTCATAACCAACAAATTAAGGGAAGCAGTTACACACAAATATTTTGCAAATCTAGTTCTTGCCTGAAAAATCAGAGCCAATTTGGGCTGCTGCTCAGGACACTTGCTATTGTTATGCACAGATGAAATGACGCCAAATTAAAGGCTACAATCCTGCAACTACCTACCTAAGAGCAAGCCCCGTTTGAACTCAGTAGACCTTACTACTTCCGTATAACATTCCCATGTACAACATGAGATTTCCAGGAAAAGTCCCTTTATCAACCCCCCCCCGCCCCCAGAATTCAACTGATGTTCGCACACTATGACATCTTTGAAAACTTGACGTACAAGCCAAAAAGCAAAACCTTACAGTAGCTTGTGTGTGACAGTGCCCTAGCCACTGTCAAATTACAGAGTTTTTGGTATGAATATTCAAACTGTTCAGAACTTGAGCTGTTAGTATGTAATACCTTCGCTACAACTTGAATAGCTGTGGCCTGCTGGATGAGCAAATAGGCAGCACTACAGCACTATCAAAAGTGGTAAACCACACTGTGTGCATAGGAATCACAGGCATGTACAATGTTTGCACATTTATGTGTGGACTGGACTGTAGGGAGGACTGGAGTTGAAACCACCCGAGAACTTGAAACAGTTTGCCCCTCCAACCCTTCAGGTACTTCTTTGGGACATGCTGTCTTATTATCTCTTTTTTAATGTTCACTTCCTCTTAAGGTATATATGCCTAGCAGCTTTTTCCCTTCGTAAGCAGCAGGGTGGAGGGATATTAAAATGGCTCACCCACTGAAGATGAAGTCCTGGTCATTCTGGATACAGAGATGACTGTACACAATTGTGCAAGGGTGCCTCCACTGAACAAAGTTGAGAGCACTGAAGCGGGAACATGGATACAGTGTAGATGGAGAATGACTTGCATGGAGTCTGCCTGAACTTGGGTTTGAGATCATTACTGCGCTTATTCTGTCATGGCGGCAAATAAGTTATTTTCCAGCACCTCTACATCTTCATTTGCACATGGTGACAAGCTGTGGCAGGAATGTTATTACTGTGCGTGAATACCAGAAGCATGGTGAAATATGGCACATTTGGTTCCTGTGAATCACCATAGAAAATCAACAGTCTGTTCTAAGCTTTCCGTGTTTTGGCATTGTGATCATTCTTTGTGAAGCCAGTTACAATGCATTTCCAGTTTCTCCATTTTGCCCAACAAGCAGCCCTGGCCACCCCAGCCACCATTTCCCACTCCCCTATTCATCCAACAACAGCTGAGTTCCAGCAGAGGGGGCACTGATTGGCTCCCCCTGCACTCTGCACCATCCCTCCTGGTACGTGTTCCCCAATGCCTGGCCACCCTCCCGCTGTGTCGGCCACTCAGCTAATTGCCCGCCCACATCTGGCTGAAAACTGATGCCTGTCTTGCCTGCCTGGCGTGGCCTCTTGCCCCCTCTTGCATGAGCAGGACATTTGCATGGAAGGCTGAACCAGGCAGGGACAAGCGGACAAGACAGGCATCTTGGCAGTCTGTTCAGGCAGCCAAAAGGCAGGTGATTGGCCAGATGGTGGGCAGGATGGGCAGCCAGCCAGGCAAGAAACATGGTGGCAGTGTGGTGGCCAGGCATCATGGGGTGCACAGTGGAAGGGAACGCAAGGAGTGCCTTGAGCAGCAGTGACTTGGGGGGCAGCCATGTGTGGCTCTCCTGCCTGGTCACTGCCTGTTGCACCTGCAGAGCCCCCATGCTATTCTAATAAGTAGGCAGGGCCCCCAAGAGCAGCAAAAAACCCAGGGGGTAGCTGGCTGAGGGCATGTCCAGGGGAGTGTGCAGGCAACACAGGTAGGAGCAGCATGTGCTGCAATTGCTTTCCAGCCGTGTGGGCTGAGGGGATGCATGCCACCGTTTGAAGGGAAGATGGGGGTGTGCAGAAAGTGCTCATGATAGTCACTTCACACATGACTACAGGACACGGTCAGAAAGGTAACTTGGTGTTGTTCCTTAACAGTATGTGGGAACACCCTGAGTGTCATCCAGTGGAGCTTTTTTAAGTGTTATGTTAGAAACCAAAGTGGCATGCTATAACAACTTTGCAAGCTACTTCGAAGATATAGCAGTTTTTCTCTGCATTAGTAGAGTCCTATGAATAAAGGTGGCCAGGGCTCTATCTGGTACAGTTTTATTGCATGACTTTCAGTGGCTGAGACTTCAAAATCTGAACAAGGTTCTTGACAAAGTCCAGCTTAATACCTGTATGCTTGACTATTTCCCCCCATGACTTGTAAGGGAGAATTATCTGGTTGCTTTCTCCTTCTTGAGATAGGATAGTACCAGCCTCTCTAAAAGAGGTGGTAGTAAGAAAACTCCTGAAGAGACAATCTAGCCTTGAAGGAGTGTTTCCTTCCTTGGATTGATTTTACTGGCCAAATCCAGCCACTCTTACACAAAACGGATTTTCTCTATCCATTTCAACTAGGCTCCAAGCTCAGTTCAGACAGGAACAGGTGACTCTGCTGATTCTCTAAGAGTATGGTATACTTCTGAATAAGCTAATCAAATTGTGTTGGGAGGTATTATGTTACAGAGGTTCTATGCCTACTTGGCTCATTCCAGATCATCCTCTTACTTACTCCTTGGCATTTATGCAATGCTATGAAGGATCCACAGATCTCTACTTAAGGGTCAAATCACAGGAATATTCCTCTAGCTATACAGGACGGCTTGCATTCTTCATAAGCCATTACAAGACCAGGACAACACTAAGCATCTTTGCCAGTCCCATGTATTATATTCTCCCCATCTAGATTTAGGCCTGAAAGTCCACAGAAAACTGTGGATGCATGAAAAATAAGTTATAAGCAAGCACAACTTGCTATATCATGGAATATCCATCACTGAACATGGAGCACATCAGTCAGGGCAATTTCGTGGATTCATGGAGCTTGAACAAATCTAAGCATGAATTTTGATCTTAAACAAATAGGTTTTTTGCTCATTGAATTTCCCTGGTCCAAAAAGGAAATCTCTCCCCAAGGTATCTGAATCTGCTTTCCTGAAACATAACCTATATAATACATAGGTTTATACTTAAGAACAGTAATCAAGATTTCATTTCAAGCTGCACATACACCTCAAATACACAAGAAATGTGGGTAGCCATTTTCAGAACAAATAAAAAAATATAATAGTAGGGTAATATTAGGAATAATCAAAAGTTACAATCCATGGAACTAGTTTTGAGATGTCTGGAAGGCTTTTTGTGCTGCATTGTATTAAAAAGGGAGGGTCTAGGGCCGAAACACAGTAATTCTATTTTGTCTTATTAGCGAGTAAGTCCAGTTAAAATCTAACTGACATTTGAGTAAAGAATATGATGTGGAAAATCCCTCACACCTGTCCAGGCCTATCTTTAGGGCTAATTCTGTGCAACCTGCATAGGATTCCAGCTTACTGTTCTCATTTCCCTCCCTATCCCCACATTTCAGTGCCTATCAATCAGTGAGAGTGGTTCCCTTCACTCATTATCACATTTAAGTTTTCTGCTGTCCCTTTCCTCCTGTCAGAATTAGAGGAATTCTTCTCAAAGCACTGGCATATTGGCAGCAGTCTAGCTGCAGAGTGAAACTCAGCAAGCTTGATGTAACTTTGCTAGCAGTTGCTGCCACAGGCTTTCGTGGAGTAGGCAAACTTTAATAACTTTTGAACTGTGGCTCAAAACTTCACCAAGCATACACATTCTTAATGAAATTGACCTTAAAAGAGGCAGACAGCCTAAGTAGCTTTTGTGGGCATATTGCTGTCTATGGGTATTGCACTGGAATTACAAGAAGGTAATGCAATGAATTTGAAGAGTAACAAAAGAAAAATGTGCAATTACATTAAGTTATAGTAAAGTATCCATATTTTAAGAAGAAATTAAGACATTTTCCCACTAACAAAAGCTAGTCAAAGGAAGAATTTATGTTTATTCTTTCAGGAGAAATATTCAACACAAAAAGGCCAAGCAATGAAAGTGTGCAGATTGGGAGACTACAGCATAAACAAAACCTACATATATAGTGTGATAAACAGGGTGCACTCAAAGAAAGGCTTCTAGACATGATGCTGAAGGTAGGTACTTATGAGAGGAGGGGTTGCAAGAGCTACTTACACCCCCCAAAATTAAGAGTTTTGTAAGTAAAAGCTAGCATTTTGAGTAAGGCTCAGAAACAACAGAAAGGCAGTGGAGGCAAGATTGAACTGGCATGAAGTGCAGGATTCCAGTTAAAACTCCTTCAGTCTTATTTTGCACTAGCTAAATTTTCTGAACAATCTTCAAAAGGCAGTTTATACACTGCAATACAGTAATCCAAGTGGAAGGCTATTAGAGCAGATTTCAAAGGATCCTAACCACAGCTGTCTAGAATCCACCAACTTCTATAGATGGAACATTCTAATGAGTCCCCCAGCCTTGCAGAGAAAACAATCTGAAACTCAACACAGGATGGTCTACTTATGACAAATGATCATTGTACCTTCAGACCACTATCCAGTAGAGAAAGCAAAGCCTAGCATGTATCCTAGTAGGTGTGCTGAACTGATGACATGTTCCCATGGTCCTGGTGCCAATTAAGTCCTGATCTACCCAGGAGTTGGTGGTCTCAGTGTTGAGATATGATAGGACAATCATCCAGAAGCCTGTAACACCAAATCTCAGGCTAACTCTATCAGCTCCAGCAGGGGCATTATTGGTTGGCAAGACAGGGCAGTACACCAACAGAATCCACAAACTCTCCCATTTGCTCGTTACAAAATATAAACAATCCAGACCACCCAGATGGATATTCAGGTGTTGTACTTAGTACCCAAAGGACACAATTAACTTTCTACTGTTCTCCTGGCCAAATGACATGTATACATGCCATGTCAACCCCATTATTCACAATCAGTGAACGATGTGAAAGCCTTTACCATGAACTGACCTGGTGTTTGAAAGCAGCATCAGAAAGCTGACCAGTTGCAGGGAAGGTCGCAAAACATGAAACAGAGGCCCCATCTAACCCTCTTTCTTGCACCGGGTCTATTAATCCAACTCCATACCCCATTCCAGCTATAAGCATAATAATTACAGAGAGAGCGCGCGCAAAAGTCAAAACATAAACAACAAATCAAAACATACAACTCAAGTCCTTGCTAAAATAATCAGCCTGATACTTCAGCTGGGGTCTTGTTGCTATCCTGATCCTATTGTTTGTCCTTGCTGCTGCTGCTTGGTCACCTTGTCCTCTGCGTGCAAGCAGAAATAAAGGAAGAGGAAAAACAGCCAGCCATTGCTTGTCTTACACTTTCCACCTTTGTGGTCCTGTTGAATAGGGCTCAAAGAAAAGCAGAAAGCAAAAGGCAGATGGGCTGATTGGAAGCATCTTGTCAGAGGGTGAGAACTACATCTGGACCCTGCACAGATGGCTTAGCTGCTTCAACTAGGCTTCCATTTAAGTAATAAATGCGACATCTTTTGAAAAAAGCAAGCCAAGATGCTTGCAGCGCATGACCAGCATTCATTTTCAAAGAAAAAAATGCTAATTGAGTGCTTCTGTAGTATGTGCGCGCGCCTGTGAGCGCGCGCTCGCTCGCGCGCGTGTTCCTTTGCACATTTATATGTTCGTTTTATAAATCCTGTGTAGGTATCCTAATCCGGAAGCTATGAGCTTCGAGTATCGCGCATGAACACAGCCTTATTCTCCTCTTGCGTGAACGGAATGTCTTTTCACAGGAGAAAGGCTTGTGTTCCAGCCGGCGATACCCTTTTCCCAACCGTTCCAGCGGTCGAAGGAGCGCAAGTGCCGCGGGGCGCGCGCCGCTGGTCGCGCCGACTCGGGCGAAGGGCGGCGGGCCGCGCGGCGGTGGCCGGAGGCGCCGGGGCGGGCCTCCACGGCTGGCACAAAGGGTGCACTAGCCAGGGGAAGGGGCTGCTGTCGCCATCACAGCCCACCACCCGTTCTGACATCACCAGCGGCGAGCAGTGACGCGCGCGCAAGCCCGGCTCGGGAGCGAGCGCGCCGCTGCGGGTGCCATTGTTCGTTATGCTTCTCGCTGTGCACCGAGAAACTTAACGGGCGGAAAATGGCTTATTGAAAAAGGGTGCTTTTCGTAAAGCTTGAAGGAGAAGCAGGCGAAACGCTTCCCCTGCCCGCATGCAAAAGAAGGAGGCGGATCAGCCCCAGCACACGCTTCACGGCACCGCTTCCATCCAGCGCGGCCTCGTCCTCGGCGGCGAGTCGCGAGAAACCGCCCAGGCGGCGTCTCGCCTCCGCGCGCGAGCCCGCTAAGCTCGAGGGAGCTGCTGGCCCGCGGCTGGCGGGCTAGCGCGCCCTTCCTCCAGCCGCGCGAATGAGCGTTCAGCACCACCTCGGAAGGATCACCGCAGCGCCCGCCCTCTCCCTCCGGGGGGCGCGCCCTGCTCGCACCGCGCATGCACGTTCCCGCCTCCGGCGCGCCTCGCGCGCGCGCACTGAATGCTCGTGCAGGAAGCGGTGGTAACGGTCAGAGAGACGCGCGCCATTCCCCCCTACATTCCCCCCCCATCCCCCATTCCTTGCTCGGAGGGAGCGCCCCCCCGCCGCTGCCGCCCCCCCTCCCCGGCTCCGTCCCCTGCATCGGCAGGTAAGCGCGAGGGACATCTGCGCGCGCGCACTCGAGGCTGGGCTGCGGCGGAACCGGAGGGAGGCGGGGTGGTGCACTGGGCAGGTTCCGCCGCGCGCCGCCCATTGCTGTTCTTCCTGCGCGCGCCGCTCAGCTCGGGCCTGGGAAACGACCTCGCGCTGCACGGGCAGCTCCGAGAGGAGGAGGAGCGGCGGCGGCGGCGGCGCGGCCGTGGTCGTCCCCGCCACTTTTTCTTGCTGCTGGGGGCTAAGCGACGCAGGAGCCCCATGCAGCTGGCAGGGCTCGCCCCGGGACTAGCGAGGGTTCGACGCGCGAGAGTGCCGTGGCGCCCTTTCCTCCACGCCGCCCGCTGAGGCCGGGAAGCGCGAGCGAGTTCTGCAGCAAGAGTGACGGCTGGGGCAGGGGAGGGGGGTCGGGACGGAAGCGCGTTTTCTTCGCGCGCGCGCGCGCCTTCTGCGCTCCGCCTCTTCGGCGCAGGAGTGGGATGCCGGGGTGGGGGAAGAGGCGCGCGTGTGAGGCGTTTGTGCACTTGCCTCCTTTGCAGCCCCGTCTCGGCGGGGCGCAGGCATAGGCCCGCGCGGGCACTAGCACGCATGCACCGAGTAGACACAGTGCACGTCTGTTAACGTGGTTACTCGCACGGAGCCGAGCGTGCTGCTTGCTTGCCTGCCTACGGAGTTGTGTTACAGTACGTGCACGCTAGGAATGCACGCTCTTGCCTCCATATGGAGAGTGATCGTCATCGGCTCAGTTGGCAACGCAGAAGCTTGAAACTCAAAATGATTTCCCAGCTCTTGATTTCAGAGTATGCGTTTTTACGATTTAATTCAAGTCTAGTTTTCAGAGGAACCATTCACAAATCTGTTCTATGGCGTTTGTTTGAATTCTAATCAAACACCTTTCTTTTCAAAATAAATATTAGGATTTAGTGCAATACTGATTTTCTTTTCACAACAGGAAAGTGATGTAGCTTATAGCATTATTTTAAAAAGTATGCTAAATTTGACAACGTAGCTGCTAGCTTTAACCTTAAAACCAATATTCTTGATGCCCTGAAAACAGATTTCTAGGATTGCAGCTTTGAACTGCAATCTTACTTTGGGTTACCTGGAAGTAAACGCCATTGAACTGAATTGCTTTCATGTACATAAAGGATTGAATTGTTGTTCTTGTTTTAGTTTGATTGACTTCACAGCTTTGAATATCTGTTTTGTTGGACTATTGACTATTCAGATGTGGGGAATATGTTTCACAAAATAATCTTAAAGCATTTGAAACCAAATATTGCTTGCAGTACGATTATCACAATATGAACACCATTAAAAAAAAAACCCTACCCAATATTTCTTAAATCAGGGCGCTTTAACGAGGCTTCCTTCCCCTCACATTTGGGGGATGTGGGGGCTGGGGTTGCAGGGCTGCACATCCTAATTCCTTTCCTTGAACCATATGTAACTGGAGGCAATGACATAGCCATGCATTTGGCAAATGTGAGTAGTTCTGTGCAAGTCATAACTTTGCACATGGACAGTTCTGGGCATAGGTGGAATCTTCCTTCCGGTGGAGGAACTCTGCTTAGATGCATGAGTATATATGTACATAGGTTTATATGTATCAGAGTCATGGATAGATCTATGAGGATTGCTTCATTCCATTAAAATAAGGATGCAATAATTACATTAATCATTTTCTTCACCTGATTGGTCCAGACAAGAGGTGGACCTAGAAAACTGATTTCTTCTAAGGCCAAGTCCAGCTCTGGTCCATTCAGCTTCCAGTCCACATACTGCCTGCATTTCACTTAGAATGACATGTCAGCGTTCTCATGAATCTTTCCTGCAGATGTAACTGCTACTGCTAAACAAGGATGGGAGTGATTATTTGGCTTGTTGTCTGAACTAGGGATCTTGGCTCTTCTGTCTTAAACCAAGATTTATAAATTAAAAAATCCTGGCTTGCAAAGCTCACTTGTAAGGAAGAAAGAAACATTTCAGCTGACAAGCTAAACGAACTGCCTGCTTAAGAGTGCCACTAGCAGAGAGGAACAACATGGGATCTAGCAGGCGGCATCCCCCAGGATGCCGCTGTTCACAACAAAGCAGGATTCTCTGAAAGCCTAGTTTATTCACTGAATATGCAACCATTAGACAATTTTGTACTGTAAGTATTGCTAATAATAGGTATCCAGAAGCTGATGAAAAAGACATGTTGCGAAGGGTTGGACTTTTCAGTTGGAATAAAGGCCATACCTTTATTCTTGTCCCCAGGAGCTTGATGGAGAAAACTCCAGAAGCACACTGTTGAATATATATTCAGGTTTCAGTCCTTTTGTGAGACCAGCAGCCAGATATTTGCATGATCATAAAACCTTACCGCTAACTTGCAACCTATATTTCAGACCAGTAAGGACTCTAAATATATAGCCATCTCACATATCAATATAAACTACTTTTGCTAAAGTCTGACTCGTCAATGAGCCATTTGCATTTCAAAACTATTTGGAGTGGAAAGTATACCCAGAAACACACACGACTACGTTTACTGGGGACACATGCCAACCATGATAGCTGTGCCTGCTGATAATGAACAATAGCGCCAGAATGCTTTGCTTCTGTGTTGTAGAACAAAAGGAGAACAAATGAAAGCAAGCAATAGATAACTGAAAAGCATAAAAAGAATACTGCAGGATTCAAAAAGGAACATATCCCTCAATTTGTTGAGCATCCTACTAGTTTACAACGCAAAGCAAAATTCAGTGGAGTTATAATTTTACTGAGTTTTACAGTCAAGTATCTTTTAAATAGTTACAAAGTGTGGTTAGTAAGGGATATGTAGAGTAGGAGACAGTGAACCTCCCCCTTTTTCCTGAGTCATGAGTCTATTCCACATACAGGAATATGAAGTTCCTGCTTTTTCCTCAAGTCCCTGCCCCACACACTATGAACTGACTTAGGCTGCAATCATATACTGACTTACCTAGGAGCTGGGTGCCCTGTGAAGAATATGCATGGTGGTCTGGAAATGAGTAATCTCTGATACTCATGTTTAGAGTACAGAAGGACCTAACCTGGAAGCTGTGACCTGGCTGGTCACAGCTCACTGTGAGCAGCCTTGGTGTAGAGATATTTTCATATGAGAGAGTAGGATTATACTGGACCTATAGCATTTCTTATATATGTCATGCACAGAGGTTCAAGTATTCTGATTTTGGACAATCCTGTTGATTTTAATGCAGCATCTAAGCACATATACTGAAGGCCATAACTTAGGCAAACAGTACTGAAATTGAGCATGTTGATATTTTGTATAACTGGCACAAAAGTAATGCTTGACCTCAATATAGGATTTATTATTATTAGAGAATATGTTTTCTTCAATTTTCTTACATAATTTAAAATATTTAAAATAGTGATGAAGACATAGGAGCCAATATGGTATAATAGAGAGGCAATTGGGACCATGAGAGACCTGGGTTCAAATCTCTATCCAGTTATGAAGCTCACTGCATGGCCATGGGCCAGTCCCTATTGCTCAGTGGTTATTGAGTTTCTTGAAGGAATGGTGGAATAGTATTTTAATAATCACTTACCATTTTCTCTTACAGGGTCCGCAGAATAAGGGTTGATACTTGTTCAAAACTTTGCTTGGCTGTTGAGAAAAGAGCCTTCCTTGTTCATGGTAAAGACTTACACTTTCCTTTTTTCATGTTCTTAATCTTCAGGTTTACTAAATGGTTTTATATACTAGGCAATTGTCTATAAAATGCTACAATATTAGGAAGAATGAGGAGAAAGAAGGGCCCTTTAACCTTGTGCATGTCTTCTGCCTTTCATTCCATGCCTGCCTTCTTCATCTTTCTCATTCTCACTACAGACTACTCCTCTGTTTCAGCTCTTTCCCTCCATATTACCATTCCTCCCTTTTCCATAGCAAGCCCAGCTGGGGAGGAAAGAATGGTATGCTTCCCTAGGCTGCTGAGTATAATGTAATACAGGCTTTTCCTGTCCATGATATTCGTCAGTCTGGACCAGTTAATATGGCAACTCTAGGTTAGTGACCATTCCATTTTTCTGCTAATTCCCACCCACCTCTTTATGTTTGTGTAGTAATAAGTAGTTGGTTTTTGTGTCTGGCTGGTTTTGTACATTGATTGATTTGTGGATCAAATTAACTTACTAAGTTCATCTCTAATATTACATGGCTCACAATGCCTTTTTCAGTATAACTTGTAAATAAAGCTTTTATTTTTTTTCTACAGGAGTTTTTCATCAGTATGTCTGAAACCATTAAATACAATGACGATGATCACAAAACAGTATTTCTGAAAACACTGAACGAGCAACGGTTGGAAGGAGAATTTTGTGACATAGCTATTGTTGTTGAAGACGTGAAATTCAGGGCCCACAGGTGTGTGCTTGCTGCTTGTAGTACCTACTTTAAAAAACTTTTCAAAAAACTGGAAGTGGACAGTTCATCTGTAATCGAGATAGATTTCCTTCGGTCTGACATATTTGAGGAAGTTCTTAATTATATGTACACAGCCAAGATTTCAGTTAAGAAAGAAGACGTAAATTTAATGATGTCTTCTGGACAGATTCTTGGTATTAGATTTTTGGACAAACTTTGCTCTCAAAAACGTGATGTATCTAGTCCAGAAGATAGTTCGCAATCAAAAAGCAAATATTGTCTTAAAATAAATCGATCAATTGGTGAATCTAATGATACCCAAGATGATGAAGTTGAAGAAATTGGAGATCATGATGACAGCCCATCAGACATGACAATGGAAGGAACTCCTCCTAGTCATGAAGATGGCAAATCACCAACTGCTACTTTAAGAGTTCAGGAAGCCATTCTAAAGGAGCTGGGGAGCGAAGAGGTTCGAAAGGTGAACTGCTATGGCCAGGAAGTGGAGTCCATAGAGGCTGCTGAAACTAAAGAACTGGGATCGCAAACGCCTCAAGCTCTAGCGTTTAACGACGGCATAAGTGAAGTAAAGGATGAACAGACACCAGCATGGACAACAGCAGCTGGCGATATGAAATTTGAGTATCTGCTTTATGGCCACAGGGAGCAGATTGCGTGTCAAGCATGTGGCAAAACATTTTCAGATGAGGCACGATTGAGAAAACATGAAAAGCTGCATACTGCTGATAGACCATTTGTTTGTGAAATGTGCACTAAGGGCTTTACTACTCAAGCCCACTTGAAAGAGCATCTAAAGATCCACACAGGCTACAAGCCGTATAGCTGTGAAGTATGTGGGAAATCTTTCATCCGTGCTCCTGATCTGAAGAAACATGAGAGAGTTCACAGTAATGAAAGGCCTTTTGCATGCCACATGTGTGACAAAGCTTTCAAACATAAGTCCCACTTGAAAGATCATGAAAGACGACACAGAGGGGAAAAGCCTTTTGTTTGCAGCTCTTGTACTAAAGCATTTGCCAAAGCATCTGATTTAAAGAGGCATGAGAACAATATGCATAGCGAAAGGAAACAAGTAACCACAACCAGCTCTCTCCAAAGTGAAACGGAACAGTTACAGGCAGCAGCCATGGCTGCTGAAGCAGAACAGCAACTTGAAACTATAGCTTGTAGCTAAAGGCAAAAGTAGGAGTGGCTTGAAAAAATGTTTGGTCTGATAAACTCACCACTGAGAAAAGTACTTTTAAAGGGTTGTAAAGACAAATGTAGTTTACAATTTGCAGCAATGATCACCCAACGGCAACATTAAACTTGGGATGAAGCCTTTAGGCAACACTCAGATATAAACAAAAAATAGAGTCGGACTCTAACGAGCAGTATTTTATTACTCTGTTCCAACTCTGGTTCAGTGCATGCCTAGCCCCACTGGAGCAAACTCTATGCATGTGGAATGGAAGGCCTTACGTGCCAGTGCACAATGAAATTAAGCCGAAGTATTTGGGTTTAAATGACTTTTGTTTCATTGGTTGCAGTTGCTTGGCATCCCACTCCTAAATATATTTGCTGTGATCCAGGGAACCCCTAATTTCCTTTAGGGGTTGTCAGCATCAGTGACAAGTGACAGGATGAGCCGCAGAGTCAGAATTTACCCTTATTAGGATTTCATTGAAATCTAGCTATTGTGTGGAAGTAAGCCTCATGGATTTTAGTAGAAATTAGTTCCATGTAAGTATGATGAGCTCAGCTTAATTCCAAGTCCTTTAGTTTCATTGGCCTGCAGATCGTGCTGTTAGTGTATTGAACAGCTTAAATAAATTATGTCTGCTACAACAGTTTTTTTAAACCTTGAAATTATGAGTTACAAGAAAGCAAGAAGTTGTTTGAAATGAAAAAAAAGTGTGCCAGTCTTCTGATCAGAACTTAATGACTTTAGTATTTCATGTAATAGTTCTTTGCAGTTGTCTAGTTCCAGCTTAATCTACTCTAATTGTTGCTGCAACTTGTTGATGCAGCTGTGTGGGCAGCTGAACAATGGAAACTATGGCATATCTGGAAATACCTTGCTGCTGCTTTTCTTATTCCAGCTGATGAATTCCTGTTATCCCAAGGTTTCTTTGTTGAAGGCTGAAATCTTATGCACACTTACTTGGGAGTAAGTGTCATTGTACTCAGTTGGACCTGCTTTTCTCTGCTTTTCAATGCACTCTGCTCTTCACCTGGGGTTCTCAAATCTATCCTTTTATGATTGAAATGGCAAAAGTTTCCAGGACCTTCCAAGATTCTACATGACTCACAGGACCAGCTCATATACACGTCATTGATTTATAAAGAAGCAGTCTGATGTAAATTTGTTTTACTCTTCCAAATCAGTGCCATCTGTAATAAGGAATGCTCTGTTCTGCCTGTTGCTTGTCAGTATTGGTTGTCACTGCAACCCCTTTCTGCCTTGCAGAATTTGTACCTTTTACTTTGACCTTCCTGCCCTGGGCTCAGGCAAGAATTCCTTGTTTGTTTTTATCATTGTAATATTTAACAAGGCTTTTAAGTGTTTTCAGATAGGGAGCCCAAATCTAAGGAAATAGAAATAAGAGGGAACAGCTTATGGGTGAAGTTACCCGCTACTCTACAAGCACAGATCCTACTTTATGAACTCACAATAGCCTTCTGGCTCCTCAGAAGGTATGAGCAGTGTGCAAGAATGCATATCCCAGCATAACTTACTCGGCTGCAGCGAGCTGGAAGAAGTCAAGGCAACTGATATGGCAAGGAAGCAATGTAGATAAAGAACTACAATTACTAAGCAGCAGCTCAGGGGAGACATGTTCATTCTACTACAGTGAGCTACAGTATTTACAAGGTTGTTTTATTCATCTTGGAATACTGTACAACAGAGCAGCTTCAGGCCAAGGGGCCAAATCCAGCTCTCTGAAGGTCCCAAGAAGGTGGCAACCCCTTTCAGCTAACCCCCTATCACTTCTTGGCTTATGTGTAGCATTTTTCCCTAGTCAAAATGGTTAAAATGCCCCTCTCAAAACTTAGTCACTGCAGTAAAACCTCTAAGATGGGCTTTTCTGGAAATGGTGCTTTTGCTTGGGTCCCACCCACCATTGAAATGCAGCCTCTTAATTGCTCTGGAAGCAGAATCAACTTCTCAAGCTGAAAGAGGTTCTGCAGCTCTGCTGAATGGCCTCATTCTCATTCAGGTGGTCAACCTTCTGGACTGCACCACCTTGGACTGCAGGTAGGGGTACACAACAGTGCTGTTCCATACATATTTTTTCCAGTGGAAAACTAGATGTCAGGAAGACTGCAGCTTACTCTCCCAGGCATGTGTTTTGTAGACCATCCTGAGAATATTTGGTAGTGGACGGTATACAAAAGTTTTAAACATGTTCTGTATGGAGAGTACTCGTGTGATCCCCACCTGCAGTCTGAAGCGGTATGGTGCAGCCATAACCTTGGTGTTTCAGTAAGAACCTACTTTAGTGGTATTTTCATGAAAACAAGGACCTGATATGAAGGAATGTAGGTCAGAAAGAATGTCATTTGAGTGAAAATGATAGAGATACATTATATCATTATTCCCTTTGAATTACAGAATTACATTTATAATTGCATATCCAAACTTGTTTTTACTATAATTGTATTCAATATTGGCCCTCCTCAGAGTAGATCCATTGAAAGGAATGAGACTTTAGTTAGACATTGTAAACCTGTTTAATTTCAGTGGGTCTACTCCAATTAGGATTAAGATTGGATACAACTCTGTGTTCCCTGCTCAAGAGCTAGATATTCAACTAGTCTTACAGGGTATTTCTAAGTGTGTTTACTCAGATGTTCACTGAATTCAATATAGATAACTCCCTAGTTAAATCTATATAAGATTGTAACCATAGCTTGTAGTTCAGTTAACTGGAAAGTTTGTCGTTTGAGATTTGACTCTCAATCCTTAACATGAATTTTTGGAAATACTACTGAGTTCAGCTGGCTTAATTCCCTAGTGGATATCCCTGGATTTGCAGCTTAGAAGCTACAGCTTTCATGAAATTACCAGCTTTTTTGGACAGGCTCTACATCCATTCTTAAAAACTTGCCGAGCAGGAAGGTATCTAGTGAGATACACTTTCATGAAATTAATAAAAACTTTCTGTCAGAGGGACTTATTTTGTAGAAGACAGTAGTTAGCCTGTAGAATAATTTCACCCAGAATAATTAGTCCAATTTGACATCATACAGACATATTTTAATATGTTTCAGTGACCAGAGTTGCATTTGTAGCAAACTGACTGTAGGACGGGATTTCTATTGAGTAAAAGGGAAGCTTGTAGTCAAAGTCTTTAAAGAAATTTCTGCACACATTTAGGCGTAATGGTTTCACATGCTTTTATTATCAATTTATGTTTTAAGTAACATTGGATAAAAATATGTTCTTTTAACACCAGGTTAGAATGAGTATTTATAAATTACTATGTGTCAGGTCACCTCTTGCATTTCTAAATAGTAATTAAGACTAGCATTTTCAAGCATTTTACTAAAGTTGCATATTTTGGTATTTGTTACAGTGTCATTGTGGATCATTAATTGAATAGGAAAGTTTAAGTTATATATTAAAATGCCAAGAGTTTGAAAATTGTCCTGTAAATAAAACATGAATATTTTAGAGTATATTAATGTTGTGTTTCTATGTATTTCCTAGGGCATTGCTTCAACTTACAATTTGATAGCATGTTTTTAGAATGTTTGATATGCAACTTCAATCGATATAAATAATCAAAGTGTCTTATTAGTTCCTAAATGAGGGCTATTTCATAACTAAGTTTTTGCTACATGCAGGTTAATAATGCAGGAGAACAAGTATTTTGTGACATGGATTAGAAGGTGAAGTTAAGCACAACCAGTATGTAGCTGCTCAGGTATTGTGCCTATAGAGAAGAACACAAAGCAGATGTTCATTATTTACATACAGTTATTTTTTGTATAGGACAACAGAAGCCCTCCTCCGGGAACCCTCTGTGAAAGATGTTAGGAGACAGAGTACCCGGAGGAGGGCCTTCCCTGCCATGGCGCCCTGACTATGGAACGCACTCCCCAAAGAGGTCTGCCTGGCGCCATCATTATATGTTTTTCGGTGCCAGGTCAAGACCTTTTTATTCAATATTTTAATAAGTTTTAATACGGAATTTTATTACTGTATTTTATTAATTGCAGCCACAGTGGGTCGTCAATTTATTTTTGCTGTTAGCCGTCCAGAGATGTTAGTAATTGGACGGCATACAAATTAAATAAATAGTCTATGAGGTAGTCTGTTATTATCTAAGATGGAGAAGTTGATAGTATGCACCTTCCAGTGGAAAGGGTAGAACTAGATTGGTTTTTCCATGATCAGAAACAACAGGATCCAGAAGTTCCTTGCTGAAGGAAGAGAGACATGGGCAATGTTTACTTACACTTTGCCCCTGCATCACATCATATCCTGCTATGTGGGGCCCTGCAGAACCTATTCTCGAGGCTGCAGGGGAAGAAAGAACCCTAAAAGAACAGCTCTACACCATCTCCCTGCAGTGTGAATGGAACCCCAATAAGTGCACTTCTGGATCCAGATCAATGTGCTACAGTGCAAGGGAACTGCACAGCCTGATCCTATGCCTATTTATACAGAAGAAATTCCCATTGAATTTAATAGCACTCTTAAGCGTGCATAAGATTTAGCTTTTTAAAAAGTTATTTAGGAGATGGGGTTCGACTGGGTTGTGAACAGACATTTCATAGGAGCAAGCTGCTTTGGTTCTGCACTGACTACTTTGTCAGTGTATACCATTCTGTCATGTAAACATCTCTATGTGATTAGAGTTTGATTTTTACTTCAGTCAAAATGAGTAAATATTCCTGATGTATTAAAGTCACAAAGTATTGTAATATCAATGGGCAATCTGATCAAACCAAACTACTAGTTCCTAATGAGGTATGAATAAAGTAAAAAGTAAATGAGACTAATGTGAACATAAAACTGGAATGTACTATCTAATCAAAAATCCAGTTCTAAACATTAGTTTGGTTCAAAACATCACAATAATTCTTTGGTGGTGGTAATAAAGGACCTCTCCTCCCTCTAGCTCCTAGGATTGACAGACAAAATATATTTCCAGCATAAATATTTTTGAAAAAGTAGAGCAGGAAAAGATGTTTTAAGTTTGGTATTGTGGGATATTTGGTCTCAAGTCAAACTACTTCTGAGATTAGAGCAATTAGATGTGGCCAAATTTGAATACCTACAAAAAAAGTTGCCAAGAATTGAACAATGTGAAACAAAAATATGTTGCTAACTCGGAATATGACATTTCACTATTCGTCAGAGTACTCTTCCACTTCGAGAGGAGGAGAATTAAGTAAGCCACCTTGAGTTCTTTAAAAGGAAAAGGTGGGACATAAATATATTATCAAGAAGTATCAAATCTGCTCATATGCAGTGTGAAAATGATATTCATTCTGTGCTCATATGTCCCTTAGAAACACTGAAGAAAAATAATGGAAGCTATATTAAATGTTAGTTAAATGGTGCTTTCATGTTCAAAGACAACTTTACCCATTTATACATCGTGGGGTTTTTTGGCCAGTCCTGAACATATTTCCAGTCAATTTTAGTGGGTAAAGTCTGGGATTGACAAAGGAAGGGGAAAATCAGTGCTTCCCAAGCATTCATGACTTTGTATAACTCAGGGTTCCAATTATTCTAAATTGTAAGAATTCATCTGTTTAAGCGTTCTTGTTCAACAGGAGTGCCATGCCCTTGATGGTTACACAGTTTGCGATAAGTTGTCTTTATTCAGAAGTAAATTGTGTTATGTTCAATAGGACTTCCATTTAAGCCTTAGTTGCATTAGGGTGCAATTCTGTTTATGTTTAGACAATAAAAAAGGCCTGTAATTCTCAGCATGCTTCAGGAAGCCGATGTACTGTAAAAGGATTTTGGAAGCTATTTTAGTTTTGTTGCAGGAGAAAGGGGGTAAATTGAGTCACCTCCAGTGCTTCCAGGATCACTTTAAAATAAAAATGCCTTTCTATTGAAGCTGAGAAATCTCCATTTGTTTATAAGATTCTTTGTTTATAGGTCAGACAGAGAGGAGCCAGTTCGCCTGTTTGACAAGCAGTGAATGATGACTACAGCACCTTCCTTGGTATTTAAAAAGCGTCACTGTAGCTGAGATAAACCCATTGACATGAGTTGGTTATTGGATTATACTAAATGAGTACTGTAACTATCATAGGTATTGTTCAATGATGCTACCTGGGTAAGTATACCTAGTAACATCTGAATATACAAGATCAGTATAAGTACATGAAAAAAGGAATATAAATGCTATTGTACATTGCATATATTTTTATACGCCTTCAGAATCCAATGCATTTAAATGTATGTATACATGATAAAACAGATTACTGTGGCTAGCAAATGCAAATTTGAGCAGTGGTAATATTGATAGCATTCAGATTGTCAGCAAACATCCAGAGCTTTGTAAGCACTTCAGAATCAAATGTGAGCTTTGTCACATTTCTCACTACAATGACAAGAACCACAGCCTTGCTTTCTTTACCAAGCCCAGTTACTTGTGCACAGGTGTTTGGCAATCAGTCCAAATGTACAAGGTTGAAAACAAATCGTGATGGCTTTAGCTGAATGTACTTTCAAATAAGTGCTTCAGATTCCCCAAAACAACATGATTTCTCAGTAATGTTAAAACTTTTGGCCTTGATTGGGTTGCCAATAATAAAGGTCAGCACTCACATGAACCTGCTGTTTCACTGATTCTAATGAAACCATATGCAATGCTAAGAAAAGCCGCATTAAAAATATCTGAATGCTCAGCTCTGAATGAAACAAGGAAATACTATTTTGCACAAATTGCTAGATCTGCATGCTATATTTGAAATAGAATGAAAGTGATTTAAAATGTTTTTCATATGGTCAAGGAGTAGGAGAAGTACAGATTGAGATCCATGTATTTTGTGAGTGGATGGGGTTCCCAGTAAAAGGATCTGACCGGAAGACAAATCCATTCAGCTCATACAAATGCTGAAGTCAGGTGTCTGAAACTTTTCCTTCACAACATGTTGTCTGTTAGTATGTTGCAGCCAGCAACTCATGTTGCTCTTAGTGTTAATAATATGCAAAAATGGCAGTGCCTTTCTCTAGAGGCTCACCTGCTGGAAAAGAAAGGGTTTAAGGTGAGAAAGGAGAAAAGAAAGAAAGGGGGAGACAAAATAGTTGTTTCACATTTAAGTAGAATTCTCCTCCCCCCCCCCCCTTTTCTGTGTTTTTTATAGCCTAATGCACCAAAATTGATGAGTTATCTATTAATGTGGGAGTGGATGGTAGGCAAAAATCTTCATCATCATCTGATTAGAATGAAAGCAGGAGCAGTGAAAAAGGTGTACACTTTCCTATTTCTAAGAAACTTCATTTTCTTTTCCAATTGAATTATTGCCCATTGCCTGCCTTAGTCTAACAGATCAGAATTTTAAGTACTATTGAGGAATAATTTCATTGAAATCGTAAGTGTGATAGAACATATATTCAGTTGACTACCCTCACTGCTGTAGTGTAAATTACCCATCTTAAGTGCCAGTTCCTTTCTTGAATGAAAATCTGCCTGATTCTTACTTTGCTCAATATGTAATGAACATCTGGATTTTGTGGCCATCACTAGAAGGAGCTGACTTTCCTGGGTGAACATGCAGAGACTCGCAATGTTTGTATATTGACAGTTCTTGGTAAGTTGCTGGCCATTGAGCGGCTGAGTAAGAATTTTTATTGCTTTAGCCAAGGCTGCTTTGGATCAGTTGCCCCTTTTGTACTGAACCACCATGGATACTTGGTTATTAAAGTGGTATTACATTAAGACAGTGCCCTTAAATAGGCAGAAATCGATCACAGCATTGGTTGCAGTGTGGGTAAGACACATAGGAAGTCAACTATTGGGATATTATAGTAAGGTAGAAAAGGGCAGGGGATGGAGTTATTCTGTGGATGGAGTGGGTAAGCTTCTTGGAGTTGTGAGAATCAAGAGACTAGGACTCGAGAGCACCTTTCAGCATTCGAAAGGTGTTGAGCTGTTCAGGGGCTTAGAGGGTTAGACACAATATTATTGCCTAACTTTTTGTAAGAACTGTACAGCTTTCACTGTTGCAGTGCTCTTGTTAATTCCATAAAGTTTTGGTCATAGTTTATCCCAATATGTGTATCACTTCTTTGCTGTGTGTGGCTGCAAGCCCTTAACGGCTAAAACTTAATTTTTAAAAAGAAATGGACTCGGGATATAGGATTTAGTGGCATGAAATAACCTTTTGCATGCATCCAGAATCTCAAAAATTACAGAAGTGCAAGTGATTACATTTTCCTATATGCTTGCAGCATAAATGCAAATACTACTTCAGCCTACACTAGTCTGGTGCCTTCTAGCTGTGTTGACTATACTGTATCCCCATCATCCCCATTCAGTGAAGGTCCTGGCTGAGCCCAAAGCTGCTAGAGTGTACTAGGTTCAGAAATATTGTCCTTTAAAGGATTTACAGACCTGAGAATCTAATGGGAATTGTTCCCACTACATGACATCTTTCTAACCACAATGCTGTTCATTGTCTTTTCTCCTGGAAACAGAGCACATTGTGCTTTTTCTTCCTTGTAGAGTTTTTTTTCCCCCTTTACAGAGATAGCTGTGATGTTCCTGTGTTTCCTCCAGCTGATTGGCCTTAATTTCCTCTGCCATTCCTTGACATCCTCAGCAGAAAGACTCCCCCTCTGCCCTTCGAAAACATACGCTTTCCTAGAAACACTCCTTGGCCTACTTTCTTCAGAGTCTTTTTTTTTTTATTTTTTTAATAAAAAGATAAAGTTATACCAGTATTCTGACAACACCTAGTTGTGACCTTCCAATTTGTGGCTTCAGATTTTGGAATTATTTGGAACTGAAGGAAAGCATGCTGTGAGAAGAGGCAAAAAGAACAGAATTAGCACATACTGTGACCTGGAGAGATTTGGACAATCTGTTATTCACATGGTTCAGTCCTGGACAGCCACTGAGCTTTTATTTACTTTGTTATACTTCTGTGAGCAGGCATCATGCTTGAACCACAGTGGTGGTGAAGGGTCAGTGTTCTTTTCAGCTGTTCCAACAGTTCAGAAGACAGGAACCTTTTAAAAACAGATTACAAAAACACATGCCTTGTTAATGTAAGCATATTACGGAATCTGAACTGACCTCATAAATCTGTTATGCACGATCCAAGCTGTTAATTCTGACCCATGATCAGCATGTTTACTTGAAAGTATTTCTAGCTAAGTGTGCACCCTGAACTTTTTAAAAAGGAGGAGCACAGCGAGCAAGTGCCCCAGGCCTTAGATGTAAGGGAGCCTCCAACACGGAGAGGGCCTTGTCAACGCTGGCCTTGTGGTATTGTGACCCACTATTTTCTCTCTCAATCCCACTAACTTGAGGTTCATAAACCCAGTGGGGAAAATTGCAAATTCAACTGGTGGTAGCATCTTTTTGACAGGATGAGTGAGATGTTGTAGTGGTAGGCAGTGAAATAGCAGCGATCCATAGGCAGCCATACACTGTAGGGTCCCCAAAGTGACGACTACAGGCAACAGTGTGCTCACAGAGACTTTGCTGCGTGCCCTCTATTTGTTGGATCATGAAATGAACTTAAGATCACAGTATCTTAAACAGAAATTGTTGCAATGCTTTTCTTGAGGATGATACAGTCCGGTCAAACATGCAACCTAATCTTAAGCAATTTTACTGAGTTCAATGGGAGTACTCTCAAATTAACATGCATGAGATTACTGCTTTTGACATTTTTAAATTCCACCGAATTAACTAAAATTCGGAGATGGGATGAAGTAGCTTCCATTAAAACCAGTGAGATGAAGGTGTCTGATTTTGCTTGAACCATGTCCAGTATGTACAGAAAACTCAGTGAATTTGAAGCAGCAAGTGCAGACTTTATATGGTTCAATTAGCCTTAACTAAGTGCACTGAATCAGCACTATAAGATTTCAGAGTGGGGAAAGGTGGTTTTTGTGTGCTTGCATGTGTCTTAATGCACAGGCAGAAGTTGAAAACGATATTTTCATGTAAGAACCAAACAAAACCCCACCCAGGGCCTTTTAAAAACTCTCAACCTCCTCCCCTCCTACTCCTCTGCCCTCTAACTAAAGGTTAACTGGCTCCAGGTCGTGCATTGCTGCCTTCTATTTTCTGGAAACTATGCTTAAATTTTTTGGATCCCAGGATGGGTCACCTACATTGAATTATGACAAATAAATAAATAAATCTGCTCACTAAGAAGCTGCATTGCCCTGAACACTTTATAGATCCTGTTTGCATGGGGTTTTAAGGTTAGCCTTGAAGAGCAGCGCCCCGTAAATGTCAGGCTGGCCGCCTCATCCAGAGCCGAGGTTGACGAGCGTTAATTAGGAGCAATTAGCTTATCCTCCTGCCGAGAGCCTTGGCGAGTACCTTTCCCTTTCCCCCTCCCTTCTACTGCCGCCGCTGCAGAGGCTAGCATTGCTGTGTTTGCAGCCGGCAAAGGCACGGGAGAGGCGCTGAGTCCCGGGCTCGCTCTTCCTCTTCCTCCTCCTCCTCCTCCTCTCCTCGTCCTCCTCCTCCTCCTCAGAGCGGTGCATTGTGGAGGGGACTGCTGAGGAGGCAGCTCGCTGCTGGCCCGCTCTGTCCTGAGCTCGGAGCTCTCCAAGGTACTACTTCTCCTGCGAGTCCCCGCGACAAACGCGCGCGCCCTCGCTGGCCTTGCCCGCCTCTTTCTGCCGTTTACACACGTTCACAGCTTGTCCTCTCAATACACTGTCCCCTTGACAGGAAGAGACCATGGTGTTTGCTCCAGGTAACGTATTCACCTTCTCTCTCTCCCCCTCTCCCTCTCTTTCTCTCTCTTCCTTAGCGCATTGCAAGGGGGCCTTACTCTGCTCCCACCGAGTAGCAGGGGCGGAACTGTTGTATCCCCCACCCCGCGTGCCCGAAGCCACACACAGAAGCTCCACCAAAATGCCTCCCATGTCTGCGGATCCTGTCCTGACAGAGATACAAGGAACGCTGCAGAGCACGGATACGCGGAAGGGCAGGAGGTGCGGGGCTGAGTTAGTGGGAGACTGAGGAATGTGAAAAGGTTTTTCCCTGGCAGCAGATCAGAGCTGTGTGGACTCGATGTCTTTATGAGCGTTGTCTGAAATCAAAAGGTCACACTTCTGCAGGAGAAGGGCAGGGGGCATTCTGTCTAGATGCCAGCTCCTCTCTTCTAGTCTGAAAGTTTTCTCTACATCATATTAGAAGATGATGGAATTTTATCTGCAGCAAAATTGCGCAGCAAAACCTTTACTCACTCTCTCCCAGAAAATGCTTAACTGAACGGGGGAGGGGGGTGGATATGGAGTAAAAATGCACAATAGTTGTGCTGTTAGTCTCCATTCATAGCCCAGATGTTATGCTCCCCCTTTTTATGCTCGCTGTCCACAGATTACTCATTCTGGAATAAGCCCATTACACTGGAAAGTGGTTTTTAACATTGTACCTCAAGAAAGATATAAAATAATCTGCAAACAGATGATAAATGGGGGCTATCTTAACCAACTAAAAGTCAGCTCATAGGCATGGCTACTGAATTTAGTGCAACTTTCTTCCATTTCAGTGTGTATAGGAATACAGCCTTCCAGTTCAATTCTATACATACCTACTCAGAAGTAGATTCCATTGGATAGCTTCCAGTAAATGAATATAAAATTGAAGCCTTTGTGTGCAATTCTATGCAAACTTACCAAAGGGCATAGTCCATTGAAAACAAAGAATATTTTTCACCGTTTGTATGAAGATTTCCCTGGCAAGATGCCCCTAATTTGTTTAAAACAAACAAAACAGAAACTTAGGTCTGTAAGCTTCCTTTAAACTATGTTTACGTCAGTAGAAGTTATGTTAAAGTAAAAATTAAATTTATTTATTTAAAGCTTTTCTATCTTGTTCTATTACAAAAAGTCTCAATACTAATGGTAAAACTAATGCCAAACTATTAGGTTAACCAAACCAGATCCCACTGAAATCAGTGGAACAAGCTAGTCTTGACTGGTGCCACTGATTCCAGTGGAAACAAAGCTCAGCTCAGCCAGCATCCAATCCTATAGTTTCAGGTTTGTGAAAAAATGTGTCAACCTTAAACATGTATTTAAATAAAATTGGATAGTGCCATTGGTAGATTCCCACATTGCGGGTTGCACAGTACAAGTTGGAAATGGTGCCTTTGTAAGATTTATCACTGTATTTATAAGCTGGTAAACTACTGCCATATATTTTATAAACTGTCTTATATACCTAATTTTAAATCAATCCATAGTTACTCATTCCCCCCATCCCCTTCCCATCAAGATTTTCCATAAGAGATATGCTGCCACCTGTGATTTAACTTGTGTAATAAATATGACTATCAGAAAGTGGGACAAGCATGCAGGTGAACAGGTGTTTCAGACTCCTGAAATATTGACATAATAGCCTCAGGAATGGAATGAGTTCTCTTGACCAAAAAAGAAAAAAAGTTTTAAATTATTTCAAAACTTTTGATACAAAGAATGCATTGAAATATCTTTTACAAGCTGGGACTTTGAACATTTCAAATGGATTGGGGAGCACAAGATGGCTTTAACTACAAAAAAACTGATGTGCAATTCAGCCAAAGGTGAGTATTTACATAAGAAATTGCCTTAAAGTGTCATTTAACATATTATTGTTTACTTTGATGGGCAATTAATCTCTAGGCAAACATCTTACCTAGCCTAGTTGAGATTCTTTTACCTGGGCTTCTTTGCTAGGGAATTGCTGTATACAAAACACATATTCTTATTTGTGGTTCCTTCACAACTGTCACTGTAATTCTTTTTAAGAGTCTTTTGGTTAGATTTTAACCTCAGTATTCTGATATGTCTTGACCCTTCACTCTTCTATGGCTGTTTCTGCCAGCAACTTTTTCATAGCATCCTTACCATTTACTTTGTGCTGGTATAGCATTGTAATATCTCGTATGGTTTCACTGCAAGTCTTACATCCAATCTGGGACATAGTAGGTCAAATTTGCAACAATATATTGCAATATGGATTTTATCCAGTCAGCCTTGCCCTCTTCTAGTTTACTCCATTTCATTCCCCCTTCCCTGTTGCTTGTTTTGTTTTGTCTCACACCCAGCAGTGAGCATTACATGGCAACTGAAGATGCTGATTCCTCATGGTGTTGTTTTGGGAGGACCCTTTTTGGGCATTTTTGTATTTCTTAAAACCCTGGGATTCATAAAGACTGCTGATGCCTTCCTCTTGTGAATGGATGGTGCCATTTTCACTACATAGGGTTTGGAGAATGAGTTTGCTAAATGGCCCCCACTCCTTTGTCTTTGAGAAAAAGAAGTAATATTACTTCAGAGACCCAGTGTTACAACCACAAAGTACTTTTGATTTTCCTAAAGATTTAATAAATTATAAGAAAAAGTTGTTTTTGAATTGCAGCCTCAGCCAGAATGGTTGAGTTCTTACAACACTTTTGGAAAAATAGTATGTGATAAAAGAATTCAAAGACTGAGAGCCAAAAGGGAATTCTATTGAAATCTGTGGGATTTACCCTCAAGTAAGATAGAGGTGTCAAACTCAAATACCAACAAAAGCAGATCCATTTCTTGCAACTGAAAATGTATTTTTATATTGTCTGGTGTATTGATCATTTGCCAAATACACTGGTAGACACCTTTATGGCAGAAAAGTGATCTTAGCTGAGCAAGCCTTTGGTTTCTGCAGTACCCTCCAGAGTCACAACACCTCTGCTTATTATGTTTTATCTGACAGAACAGATGGTTCACATCATTATTCACGGTTTGCTTTTGAAGCAGACACATGAGACTAGAGAACTGCAGCAAGAGATTATAGCTACAATAAAAGACAATGCTATTTTCAAAAGCTGATAAGTTGGTAGTAAATGTGCCATTAGTTACTATCATGTTAGAAGGAACACACTTTCAGACTACTGCAAAATTTTGTTTAACACAATAATTCTCTTTTGGCTGCTTCTTGCAGTAAGGATATTTTGTCATTCCCAACTGACTGTTCCTTTCCTGCAATCAGCATCCTTTTTAGAGAAATTCCATAAATTAAGAGGGCTAACTGTGAAGTCAGAAATTAGGTATTGCCATTTGACAAGTTTAGGTATCTTTGGATGACCACAATGCCAGAGAGTTGACTTTTCAAGAGAGTATGCAACACTTCTGTTGTAGTAAATAGGGTGCAAAACTCATTAATATATAATATAATATAATATATAATATAATATAATAATGCCCTATTTTATTCAGTCAAGGTACCCAGATATCTTTGTGTGATCAACTGTGAGCTCACTCTTATAAGTTTGTGGCTATATCGTTGGTAAATCTCTCACTCCCTATCTTGGATGACGAGCTGAGATGTAAATGTGCTACAGCAAAGTATTTTTTTATGAGTGCTCCTTTGGGGGCACAAACTATGATTTAGCAAGCATGACACTAGAAACTTTGGTTGAGCAATGGTGCTGAATCACTGTTTGTGCTGGAAATGGAATACTGCTTCATGACATTAACTTCATTGCCATGAGCACACTTAAATCTACACCATTAAGCTTGGAAAAACAGTAACTCACTACCTGGCTTATGGGTGATATGAATCATTGTTCAGATGTGAAAGATCAGAAAAAAATATTTTACGCTTTTATATCTTCCTGAAAACACAAGGGAGCAGACTTCAGACTCATGAAATCCATACAGCTTTTACAAGAACCCAGAGTGCCTTTCTATAATCGGAGCCAGGTGTAAAACAGTGGGCTGAGACCATTGGAGTCCATAACCTACTGCATTCTGTGAACTATACACGGCATATAAAATTACAAATGCCAACTTAGATCTGGAGATCAAATTACACATTACATTAATTGCATAGTGTGTAGCTGTATCTGATGGTTTTATTTATTTTTGTGTAACTGTGCATGCTTCTAATTCAGATTAGTGAGGATGACATCTTCCCTACCCCTGCCCATGCCCTTGGAGTCAGTAGATTTCCTATAGTCATTAATACAGATCAGGGATGCTAATAAAAACCTCTCAAAGATCAGGTCAAAGTCAACCAATTATTCCTTATATTTTATACATGAGAAACAATGAGGTTAAAAGATAAACATTTTGCAAGCCATGGCAGAGTCTAGCTTTCCATTTTATTTGTTACTCAAAACCTAATGGGAAACAGAAATCCTTCCTACTCTACTACTAACCATCCAGTGCTTTGTCATAGATTTTCATCTATCCTACTCATTCCTGTATTAGAGAGCAAAGATTACTTTACTAGCTGTTCATACAGTTCCTTATCCCTTGCTCATCATTCTGCATGAGTGGATACTTTTTAATTTATTGTCTGGGTTGTACATATGATAAGGGCAAGTTAATACAATGTACATTGCTTAGGTGCAGAATCTGCCTTCTGCAACCAGAAGAAATTGTCAGCATGATGAAGGCCCCTTTCCCCAATTTTCTTTCTCTCAGCTAATGCCATTCATCAGGGTCTTCTGCCTCTCAGGAGGCTGCTGTGGGAAACAGGAAACAATGAAGTCCATTTCCACCAGTGCAGTGGTTTCAGCCTAAATCTGGAGCCAACCCATTATCTACAGCAACCAATAGAAAATGCGCAGTATAGGAGATAGCAATCAATAGTAAGCGATACAGAATTATTTGTGTTGCTGCCAACATTTAAATATGGAACCACAAAATAGTATTCTATTTAGGAGAATTAAATCTTTTCAGTATTTCAATATGAAAACCTCATCTTGGCTTCATAGAAGAAATAAAAGGAAACCAGATAATCCATTCTATTCTATCTCCCTCCCTCTTTCCACACACACACACACACACACACACACACAGAGCGCATTTTCTCATCTGTGGCATTTTCTAAACTTTTTTCCCCTCATTCATGTTGCAGAAAATGAAGCAAAGTAGCAGTATTTTGGTGAAACAGTATTTTGGAATGATGAAGCACAATATGATTTTGTTAAATGAGTGGAACTGACAAAGCAAAAGTGGAGGGGATCATTTTCTCTCAAAATATAGGAACTGGGCATCATTCACTGAGAGGAAGCTGATTTATTTAAAACAAAAACAAAAAGCACCTTTCTTTCCTTTACGCAATGAATTATTGGCATATAGGACAGTTACATGAGATATGGTTAAGACAACTAGATTCAACAAATGTTTGCTTAAAGACTTTACTTATATATAGGAAGCTTTTACTCTTTATGTACAAGATGATATGGAAAGGACCTAAACAGAAGTAAGGGAACGGGGGGACATGGATGGGAGCAGACTTTGCTGTTTGCATTGTACTGAAAAATAAATTTTAAATTCTAAAAGTGTTAATAATAAAACAAAAATATTGTTAGATGGATACATGTAGGATTAGTCTGTTGGGTACCAACCTCAATTATCAGGAATGCATTTTCATTTTTGGATGCAGTATACTACCAATAGCCCAGTAAGCTTAGGGAAAGGGGTTAGGGGTTGGAAAATTATGGCTGGCTGGTTAAAAGGAGATGATGAAGGAGGAAGTAAGTTGTTGGGGGGCAAGTCTTTCTAGCTCCAATTAAACCCAAACGAGAAGAAGTCAGGGTCTGAATGCTTGCCACTCCCAAGCCTAGAAATAAGACTTACTGGAAAATGCCTATATTCTGCATTTCTTTGCAGAATCATGGAACACTCATATGGCCTTGTGTGCACTTCTACAGGCTGAGGAAGTATGGCAATAAAGAATATAGGTTTTCTCATTGTGCCCTGTATTTTCAACTTCTCTTCCACATCTAGTGGAACTGCCCAGCATGAGCTTGTAAGAAAAGAATGGAGATCAGTTCCATTCTCACTGTGAATTTAAACTGGAAGCCTTTAAAATGGCTACTTAAGACTACAATATTATACCTTACCAATATTACCAATTTTAAGTCTTACTGAACTCAACAGCACTTGCATCTAAGTAGACAAGTACAAGATTGCACTATCTGTATATCAATGGCCCCTTTTGCTGTATAGCAGATCACACTCGGGGTTGAAGGGATCCCACCCCAAATATAGAATCCAGGTTCAAATAGCATATACATTTTGAACTGAAGTCAACTTCTCCCCTTTCCTGGTAGGTGATAAATCTGGAAATGACCAGGAAGAAGCCAGGCTGCAGAATGCCAGCAGACAAATAGTGCACACAGCCATTCAGCAAGCGGTCCAGCAGCTGTCCCAGGAGAGCCAACGGAAAGAGAAAGGCACCAAGAGCAGTGTGAGCCTGCAACTCGAAAGGGGCCAATTAACCAAGAAGCATGAAAAGAAGTAAAGCCTCCCACCCAGGACCTCTTCATGGGATATTCCAGTCTGCAGCCTTTCTGCCTTCTTAGGATCAGCTGTGTAGCCAGTGCCGCACTACTGCAGAAACGTCAACCAAAGTATAATCAGCACATAGCGATAAGTATACCAAGTTGCCATAGTCCTCAGCTGAGAATTAGAGTTTTAAGTGCATTAGGTAAACTTACTCAATATTTATGCAGTGCCTCCTAACACATGTAACAAAATAATGCTGTTGTGGCAACTGAAGTAGTGTCAAGCACAAATCCTTCCTAGAGTACAATTCTATATTCTGTGTGTTTCGTCAAAGTCTAGGTGTCTTGTGATCTTTCCCTTGCGTTTCCAGTTTCCCAGGAGTTCATTATATTGACGCACAGTGTTATATGTGAGTAGAAATATGTTTTTTAGATTCTTTGAAACACACCTGTATGCTGTAAGAAGGAAATATTGCAGCAGACAAAATGGTCACATGGAAATCCAGCTGGAAATATCAGTGAATGAGCTTTTCATAAACATGCTGGCCACAGTCAAAGACAGAGTTAGACGTGCTTCAGAGCTGGGCACTGATGTCAAATCTTACTCTTTTACATTTTATCTTTTATTCAAATCTTAATCCGTATTTTATAAAGTGAGGTCAGAAAGTGAGGTAATAATAGTAATGCAAACCTCAGGCTTACTTCTGAGCAGACATGTATAGAATTGCACTGCTAGCTCCTTAAAATTGATGGCGCATTATTACCTCTGCCCTTCCATTCTGATTCTTTCCACTGAAGTCCAGCACTCCTTTTTCTGGGTTTTGCTCTTTACTTTGCTAGTTCTCTTTATTTTAATTTACAAAATTTTAACAACTTAAAAGAGTAAACTGAATGTAAAAATCCAGCTTTGTGAAATGTGGTAATGTCATAATAAGAACATGAGGTTATTCTTGAGTAAGTACTCATTTCTGGACTGATCAGAAAATACTGTCATTGGATGCAAATATCAAATAACACCATGGACCTCCATGTCTGTGGAGGAACCTCTTTCATGAGCACTCTTTGGGTTCTAGAGAGAATGGCATCTCCAAAAAGAATGGCAAGTGAGCCTGAATTTGGATGTTGTTATTTGAATACCAAGGGTACATAGTTTCTTGAAAATAGGGGAGTGACATTGCTCCTTTCCGGCCCACCTGGGGTCACTACACCCTACTGCCATACCACTGAATTTGCTGCCAAAATCCAGTAGTTCAGCAGTGCTGGGGAAAAAGCAGCAACCTTTCTTTGAAACAAGGCGCTGCTCCCATGAGCCCTCTTTGAACTGCTGCTTTATTTGATTACTGCCACCAGTATTGCAGTGGCAAATTTTTGCAGTGAAGCGTTGGGACCAGGTGGGACTGTGAACATGCAGCTTGCATGTTTATCCCTGTTGTTTACAACAAAGCAAAGGCGTGCCAGTTCTTTTATATTGGGCTTTGTATATTCTTTCAATCCATGGGAGACTAGCAAGTGTTTCTTGGCCTTATCTGTATTTCTTGTTCAAAGGCAATCATATATCAAAGCCCATATATCAAGTACCGCCTGAGTCGCTGTATTAAAAATTCCTGAATACGTATTAAGAAAAGACTGGTTGTAATATCAATTCAAAATATCTCCAAATTTCAGAGCTCATTTTGTAGGTTTCTTTTGTTTTGTTAATGAAAGAAACTAATAAAGAATGAAATGGCTCACCATCTTGTTTTTATGCTTAATTTGTGAAAAAAACCACTTTGATTTCAAGTCTCTCCACTCCAGTGCCATTCTCTTTATAGAACATTCTCTGTGAAAGGTGCATATGTAGCTCACGGGAGAACACATTACTCTTGTGCATCTGTTATCCAAATATGGAATACAGGAATAAAAAATGGGATGTTTTCATCAATAAGCCACATAACTTTATTAAAAACTTAATTTCTAAGCTCCCCACTTAGAAGAAGAGAGCAATGGAGTGGGAAGAATTTTAATCAAAGTGATATTTCCTCTAACAGCCTTGTATCTAGACCTCTCTATCTTTGCCTTTCTGTGGATCAGCTTAAAAATGGCTCTTATCAGGATTACAGGGAATGAGTCATTCTGTAAGAGTGTGAGAGGAATGAATATGGTGGACTGGATATTTCATAGGTATTGAAATGCTTTTTTCATAGTAATGGACTGGCATGCTATAATTTGGGAAGAAAACATTCTCACGTGTCTTCTGATTATTGCTACTAGAAATATTTGGGCATGTATGGTTTTTATTTTTTAAACAAGTTGGGTTTTCATCAACAGAAGATTGAATGCGTTATATAGTGGCCAGGTATCTCGAATCATCCAGTGAACCTCATAGGAAATTTATATTATATTCATCCCAGTAATATTCTGATGAAATTGCAATACCATGTTAACTTGTGTACAAATACAAGATGAAGAACAATGCTTATATTAAAATCTCAGTTGTAGTGAGAAACAATTACATTAATTAAGCATAACACATTTTTCTTTATTTAATAACATATCCTGACTTATCTCCAACACAAAAGGGTTTTTCTATGGCTTAATTGTGACCAATAAAAAGACCATCTCACAAATCTCAACTAGACATATCTCAGGTGTTGCTGAAAGATACAAGAAGGCCTCCAAAGATCACAACAGGTGAACAGACTGATGAGGAGGAAGAAGAGAGCAATTCAAATACATAAGATTATTAAGGCCAAGCAAAGGCAGCAATTTTCTACTTTTTCCTCGAACCCCTAAACTAGCCTTCCCTGCTTCTCCTAAGCCTGCATCGCCCTCCTACCCTCCAGTGAGTGTAAGGGTAAGGGTAGCTCATCCATCTCCAGTGTTCCAAGAAGATTCATCTGGCCATCCAATTGGGTTCTGTCTCGGAGAGAGTGATGAACAGCATCTTGCCTCAGGCAGAATCTGCTCCTCAGTCTGGAGCAGATTCTGCCCTTTGCAATCACCCTCGGACACTAAAGATAGTTTATCAAGTGGTAAGAAGTCTGCTATGTAAGAACCAGTATTCTTTGTGCAGAAATATCCTGAGGGTTATGTCATTCCTAGGCTCATCTCAGGGCCCATCAATCTGTCCCATCTAATTATGAAAAGACAAAGCTAGTGGGTCAATGGGCCAGTTCCCAGGAAGGAAGTTTCCACAGGAGCATGAGGCATAGGTAACACAAGCTGTTACCTAGGCTGTTATCTGTACACTGGCAGTTGTCTGCAGCCCTTGCTATGTTAGGCACAAAATGTGGAAGAATCTGATTTTATTATTTTATTCCACTAAAAGTCTATACTGTTTTTCTATCTGTCTGTCATCTAAATTTCCAAAGCATTTCATTAGATAACACTAAAAGTTTATCAATAAACACTAATAAAACAGCAAAACATTGTTTTATGAGCTCAATTGGAAAGCATTTTTTTCTGTACGGAAATAAACAAGCAGTTGGCCTGTCTTTGTGAAACATTTGGCAGGGTGGGGTCATTCAAGTTGTAAGTCTTGCAGGAATCTCTGCCAGCAGAAGACATCTTGCGGCACTTTTGAGAGTCAGGTGAATCAGCACAAAATCAAGCAGGAAATTGGGCGCTCACTTGCTCATGCTGTGCCTCCTTGTATAGGCTTCCAAGGGTACAGAAATATGAGAACCTTGCAGGAACTAAATGTTCTGAAGAACATTTAAATAATTAAGGACAGGATTATCTAAATGCTATTTTTGGAGGCAGCATTTTCTCCCATTTGCTTGTGAAATGTATGTGAGATGGTGACTCCTTGCCCTTTCCTTGAGTGTCTGGAGTGCAGCTCAGTGATGACTCACTGGAAAATGCATGCTGTGGAGCATGCAATTAATTGCTCCTAAGATATGACAGAATTTCATAGTTGGTTTCTAGAAGTATTTATTCTCTTTCTGATCTTAGTCACAGGAGACATACTAAGCATTCCTCACAAGGAATTGACTTAATCAACCATGAGAGACTTTCTTGTGTTCTGTTTTTGAAGATTGTTTGCTTGGGAAATAAAATTAGAAGGCCACTTTAAAATGAAAGGGCTTTTTAATATTCATTTTAAATAAGAACTTAAGAAGGGACATGCTGGATCAAGGCAAGGGCCCTAGCCCAGCACTCTGTATCCGCAGTGCCCATAGGATCCCACAAACAAGATACAAACTCAATAGGATCTTCCTGCTCAAGCTCCCCAAGCAACTGGTCTGCATAGGCTTACTGCCGCTGATACCAGAGATAGCATAAAGTCAGCAGGACTAAAAGCCATTGATAGCCTCCTTCTTGAATTTGTCCAAATTGGCAGCCATCACCACATCATATGGAAGTGAATTTAATTATTTCTCCATGCACTCTACGAAGTAGTAGTTCCTTTTATCTGTCTTGACTATCCCATTACTAAGCTTCACGGCATGACCTCAGATTGTAATATTAACGGAGGCATGGCTCACTCTCCACTTCCTACACAGAATCATTCCGTGCTTAACTTGGGAGGGACAGGATAGATGCAATCTCAGCTGCTGTAAGCTTTCTTCAGAGAGGAGTTGCTCCAATTCTTTGGTCATTTTAGTTGCTCTTTTCTGCACATTTCCCAACTGTACAATATCTTTTTTTAGGTGCAGTGACTAAACTACGTATACGCAATATTATAAGTGTGACCACACCATGGATTTAGATAATAAAATATGATCTTGGAGGGTCTGTTTTCAGTTCATTTCCTAATTATGCCAAACATGGAGTTTGCCTTTTTCACAGCAGCCACACTTGGTGACGAACTAGTGGATCCTAGATCAAATCAAGTCCTAGCTTTCCCTAGAAGCAAAGTGGCAAAACCAGGCTGTCACACTTTGGACACATCATGAAGACTCACTGGAGAAAACAATCATGCCAGGAAAAGTTGAAGGCAGAAGAAAAGGAAGACCAAATATGAAATGGCTTGACTTCATAATGGAAGCCACAGACCTGAATTGACAAGAATTGAGCAGGACATTTTGGAAGTCTTTCATCCATGGGATCACCATAAGCTGGAGATGATGGCATACAACAACCACATGTGGTTGACATTTTCACTGAGCCCCACAACCCAACTTCCTTAGTCACCACTGCTCAGCTTATACTTGAAACTGTGATTTTAAAATGCATCATTTTACACTTGCTTATATTGAACAACATTTGCCATTTTGATGGCCATTCTATGAGTTTGGGGGAAAAAATCCTCACAATCCCTTTTGGTTTTAACCAGTTTGTCATCAGCCAATTTGTCTCGTTCACTATTCACTCCTAATTCCAGATCATGTACGAATAGATTGAAAAGCTTTGGTCTTAATACAGAACCCTGTGGGAACCCACTGTTTACATTGCTTCACTGAGAGAAATTATTCTTTATTCCCATTCTCTGCTATTTATTCATTTTCTATACCATCCAGTAGCTGACGTTCTCTAGGTGGTTTACAACAGCAGATTTTAAAAAAATTATATATGAAAACATCATTTAAAAGCTTACCATACAAAATTTGAAACCATATTTAAAACAGATACCAAAAAATCAATAACTTTAAGACCTATTTAGCAACTAGCAAACCCCAGTAAACTAATTGAAAGCCCTTGCAGTAGAGGACAGTTTTTATCTGGCTCCAGAAAGATAGTAACCATCTCCTCATTCTCCACTTCTGAGTCAACAACCTTTGAAAACTGTGTTATAGGAGGAGTGAATCCAATCCGTACAGTTTGTTGACAGGATGGTAAAATGTGGGTTGAAAAATACCCCACTTGTATGGATCTACAACTGGTTGATTACCTGTACACATACTGCTTGCTCATTAATCTTCATCAGACTTTGACAGAGAGGTTTCAAGTGGACTACCTCAGGCTACCTCTGAAAGAACATTCAGGGACAGCAAAACATCATTCTCAGAGGATTAGGTAACATCTCTTCTACCGGGGAGAAGGAATATAAAATAAGTCATTTTGAGAATAAAACAAGCCTTTATACTGGGAAGGGGCTAACAGAGAAAATTGCTGTGGCAATCAGAACACAGTTGTGCTTATTAGAGATTTATCAAATTGTTTTATTGAAAACAGGCTGTTGATTTCAAAAGTACCCAGCTCTGCACAGAAATGATTTCCAGTTAGCATTCAATGAAAGTGACCCACCGTTTGTGGCTCCCAGAACAACAAATCAGTCTCCATAGTCATTAATCTAGCCCTGTTTATTTCACTTGCAGTTGTATGTCTTCCATTGATGGCAATTCTGTATAACTTAATTTTATAAAGATTGTTAAAAACAAGCTTTGTGAAGCAATTCTGTGAGGCACTTGCTGCTCAAAGAAACCAACAGTTGATAGCAAATTACATTTCTCCTGGCAAATTGTACTTGTCCTTTTACAAAAAAAAATGTTCTGATCAGCCAGCCATTAAGTAGTAGCCCTCATCAATCAAATCAAATCAAAAAGCTGCAGGCTTTTTTTCAATGTCAGACTGGTTTACATTCTAATTTATTACAAGCAACTCTGTTGTTGCCATGCAATAGCAACTGGCTGGACCACTATCCAAAGTCTCCCCTTCCTTTAACTCTTCTTACTAAGTGGGCTTTTAACAGGGCTGTCACCTCATCAGTGTTTCATTACCCAATTAAATATCTGTTTTAACAGATCAATCACATCACAGTGCTTTAGCACAGGTAGTACAGCGGAGATTTGATTAGCTATCAGGCTAACTA